CACCGTGGCCAGGCTTATTTTTCAAACTTACCCGGTGTGGATATACACTCAGAGTAACATCACAAGCATGACGATTCTATAAGGTTTTATACTTTGGAATGTATAGCAAATTTAAAATTAGCTTCAACTTAGAGTCCTGTAGGTTTAACACCCTTTTCAAAATGTTTTACTTAGTGTTTGCTCGCGGAAAATAAGCGAACTTAATTTCATAAAATACACATATCTGCTTGATTTCTTGAGTTCGTTTGGAATAAATAAACTAAGAGACATTTCTGCTCGTTTATCGTATGGTTGTGTCTTAAATTATGTTAGGATTAATTTATTTTTAAGGTTAATTTCTAGTTCTCTATGCACATTTTCAACTATTATAGGTTAGAACAAATCTCAATTTCTACATGTTACATCATGTTACATCATGTTACACCACATGTTACACTAAAATTACTATACTTTACTATAGTTCTGGACATGTTACTACATGTTACACCTATATTTTTAAAAGGCACTATAGATTTTTTTAAAGGTAGGTGTAACATGTTGTAACATGTGAGGATATATAATAAAATATAGAACTTTTAGTGTAACATGTACTGTAACATGTGGTGTAACATGGTGTAACATGTAGTGATTTTACTCAGACTGTACATTTCTTAATTAATAAAAAGATATTCGTTAAGACAAGCACCAATTTTGAGGCAATCACAGTTATATGCGCTATAAAAACATATTGAAACTATATTAAAACATACTTTATAGCTACAATTCTGCACTATAAAATTTTAATGATTGATAAATATGTGAAAAAATGTGACGGTCATGAAACATTGTACAATGTAATAATCTATATATGCCATATCTGTCGCTCCGATAGTTTTTTGTTGTTACCTGCCATATTTTTTTTTAATGCAGCCTTACTGGATAAATTAACCACAATTTTCCTTAAAGCAGGGCACCAACATAAGCCCCCCCCGTCTATCGACCCCCTGGCGTTCAAAAAGTTTAATCAAACCCTGCATTATGTTCCTAATATAGAGTCCATTCTAATTTGAAAATTATCTTTCGAAAACGACGGCACAATTAACTTGTTAAAATGATTATCCCGATTGTATTTTTCAGACTGTCTCTGAATTAAGCCAAACCCTTAACCTTTAAGGGATAGAAATGAAATTTTTTGGACATATAAAATTTTCTATTCTATTATGTTGTTATGAAAGTCAAGTGGCACATATGTCAGTAGAAACAGACTCCCAAAACAATTTTCCTGGGGGGGGGAAGACTTCCCATGGTACGATTATAGGAAATAGGCGTATATTACCGCCCACAGCTCGGGTTATCCTTGCAATTTCGTTGAATTTGGACACGATTATAAATGTTTTTATACTTTTGAATGTATAGTAAATGTAATATTAGCTTCAACTTAGAATCCTCTAGGTTTAACACCCTTTTCAAAATGTTTTACTTAGTATTTCCTCCGGAAAATAAGCGAATTTAATTTCATAAAATACAACTGCTTGATTTCTTGAGTTCTTTTGGATTAAATAAACTAAGAGATATTTCTGCTCGTTTATCGGTTGGTTGTGTCTTAAATTATGTTAGGATTAATTTATTTTTAAGGTTTACAGTTCTCTATGCACATTTTCAAAGATTATAGGTTAGAACAAATCTTAATCTTCACATGTTACATCATGTTACATCATGTTACACTACATGTTACACTAAAATTACTATACTTTACTATAGTTCTTGACATGTTACAACATGTTACACCTATATTTTTAAAAGGAACTATATATATTTTTAAAAGTAGGTGTAACATGTTGTAACATGTGAGGATATATAATAAAATATAGAACTTTTAGTGTAACATGTACTGTAACATGTGGTGTAACATGTAGTGATTTTACTCAGACTGTACATTTCTTAATTAATAAAAAGATATTCGTTAAGACAAGCACCAATTTTGAGGCAATCACAGGTATATGCGCTATAAAAGCATATTGAAACTATATTAAAACATACTTTATAGCTACAATTCTGCACTATAAAATTTTAATGATTGACAAATATGTGAAAAAATGTGACGGTCATGAAACATTGTACAATGTAATAATCTATATATGCCATATCTGTCGCTCCGATAGTTTTTTGTTGTTACCTGCCATATTTTTTTTTAATGCAGCCTTAATGGATAAATTAACCACAATTTTCCTTAAAGCAGGGCACCAACATAAGCCCCCCCCCCGTCTATCGACCCCCTGGCGTTCAAAAAGTTTAATCAAACCCTGCATTATGTTCCTAATATAGAGTCCATTCTAATTTGAAAATTATCTTTCGAAAACGACGGCACAATTAACTTGTTAAAATTATTATCCCGATTGTATTTTTCAGACAATCTTGGAAAAAATATGTGTAGACTTTTCGAAATATACACCCAAATTTGAAAACATATGATGAAAATGTGAGCATTTTTCAATTAAAGCAACTATTTACCATAAATCCCCCCCCCCCTCCCCCCACAAACAATGTTGGTTCAGGTAAAGTGGATTTGCAACACATGTCACCTAAATACCAAGTATAAGGGGGGAGGGGGGCAAAGTTTGAAAATTTAAGAAGTCTACTAATCTTTTTCCAGGATTGTCTCTAAATTAAGGCAAACACTTAAAGGACGGATATTAAATTTTTTGAACATATAACATTTTCTATTCTATTATGTTGTTATCAAAGTCAAGTGGCACATATGTTAGTGGTAACAAATCCAAAAAAAAATTTACCGGAGGGGGGGACTTGCGATGGTAGGATTTCAGAAAATAGGTGTTTATTACTGCCCACAGCTCGAGTTATCTTGCAGTTTCGTTGAATTTGGACACGATTCTAGATTTTTTCTGTGTTGGTGTAATGTACTCAGGTGAATATGATGCTTGTGATGTTACTCTGAGTGTATATGCACACCGGGTAAGCTTGACAAATATGCCGGGCAACGGTGAGAATCGAACCTACAACCTTTGGAATACTAGCCCAATGTTCTTCCAACTGAGCTACGTGGTCACGTCGGTTCGAGTATGTGATATTTCATGATTACTAAATTACATTGATATCGAAGGAACTAGATTCTGTTCCGAAATATCACACACTCGAACTGACGAGACCGTGTAGGTCAGTTGGAAGGGCATTGGGCTAGTATTTCTAAAGGTCATAGGTTCGATTCCCACCGTAGCCAGGCATATTTTTCAAACTTACATGGTGTGGATATACACTCAGAGTAACATCACAAGCATAACGATTCTAGATGTTTTTATAGTTTGGAATGTATAGTAAATTTAAAATTAGCTTCAACTTAGAGTCCTGTAGGTTTAACACCCTTTTCAAAATGTTTTACTTAGTGTTTGCTCGCGGAAAATAAGCGAACTTAATTTCATAAAATACACATATCTGCTTGATTTCTTGAGTTCGTTTGGAATAAATAAACTAAGAGACATTTCTATTCGTTTATCGTATGGTTGTGTTTTAAATTATGTTAGGATTAATTTATTTTTAAGGTTTTTAGTTATCTATGCACATTTTCAACTATTATAGATTAGAACAAATCTCAATCTCTACATGTTACATCATGTTACATTATGTTACACTACATGTTACACTAAAATTACTATACTTTAGTATAGTTCTTGACATGTTACTACATGTTACACCTACATTTTTAAAAGGAACTATAGATTTTTTTAAAGGTAGGTGTAACATGTTGTAACATGTGAGGATGTATAATAAAATATAGAACTATTAGTGTATCATGTACTGTAACATGTGGTGTAACATGGTGTAACATGTAGACATTTTACTCAGACTGTACATTTATTAAATAATAAAAAGATCTTCGTTAAGACAAGCACCAATTCTGAGGCAATCACAGGTACATGCGCTATAAAAGCATATTGAAACCATATTAAGACATACTTTATAGGTACAATTCTGCACTATAAAATTCTAATGATTGACAAATATGTGAAAAAATGTGACGGACATGAAACATTGTACAATGTAATAATCTATATATACCATATCTGTCCCTCCGATAGTTGTTTGTTATTTAACTGCCATAATTTTTTGTCAATGCAGCCTTACTGGATAAATTAACCACAATTTTCCTTAAAGCAGGGCACCTACATAAGCCCCCTCCCCCCGTCTACCGACACCCTGGCCTCCAAAAAGTTTATTCAAACCCTGAATTATGTTCCTAATATAGAGTCCATTCTAATTTGAAAATTATGTTTCGAAAACGACGGTACAATTAACTTTGTAAAATGATTATCCATTGTATTTTTTCAGACAATCTTGGAAAAAATGTGTAGACTTTTCGAAATATACACCCAAATTTGAAAACATATGATGAAAATGGGAGCATTTTTCAATTAAAGCAACTCTTTATTTTAAATCCCCCCCCCCCCCAAACAATGTTGGTTCAGGTATAGTGGATTTGCAACACGTGTTACCTAAATACCAACATTGTATAAGGGGGGAGGGGGACAAAGTTTGAAAATTTAAGAAGTCTACTAATTTTTTTCTAGGATTGTAGGCCCCAGTTACACGATACCGGATTAGCATCGGAGCGACATCAAATTTTACTCGAGGTGAATTTGGCACTTAAAATTCTGATAATATAACATAATTAAACAAAAACTTCATAGATGAAAAGTTGTAATAGCAGACAAGACTGGAAAACACCTTAAATTGATGTCGCTCCGATACGAATCCGGTATCGTGTAACTGGGGCCTTAATCTAACATTACCCGTCATTTGATTAAACCAACCAGAAATAGATTGAATACTTATACTAATAAGTTATAAATATATTGTTAACTGATCTGAAAGATTTCAGTATTCTTAGTTTATAAAAATTACATATGTATGGTAATTGTTGCCCGCCCCCACCCCATCACCAGAAAGAAAAATCCTATCATTCATGACTACACTCTTGGGAGCCAAAACCTGACTCGAGTAGATAGCGAAAAAGATCTTGGAATTACCACCACATCAAAACTTTCTTGGGACATTCACGCGAACACTATCGTCGCGAAGGCTAACAAAATATTAGGCGTACTTAGAAGAACTTGTAACAAATTGATGGATATGAAAGCCAGACGAACTTTATATTTATCGTTGGTCAAGTCCCAGCTGTGTTATGCTACAGAGGTATGGTCGCCGGTTAACAGCGTTCAGATTTCAAGACGTGTTGAAAAAGTGCAAAGAAGAGCGACTAGGTGGATAACAATGACAAAGCGAGGCGAACTGTCGTACAGAGAACGGTTATTAGCATTAGATCTGCTACCGTTAACCTATGATGGAGAAGTCAGAGACTTGGTGTATTTCTTCAAATCATTTAGTTACATTGACGTCAATACTGACAACTATGTGTCGTTTGTGAGTCATGGTCGTACTAGACTGAGCCATAGGTCAAGATACCTTATTATAGAAAATTAACGATGCACTTTATCAACGCGGATTTTAAAAACTCGCGTTAATTTAATTAATGTTAATTTATGTTACGTTAATTTCAAGCATGCAAATTTTAGTTATCGTTAATTAAAAAGACCTTCATTTGTTTTATATAACACGAACTCTTTTAACTCAAAATGCATCATATTAAACCTCAAAAAAAGAACACATCAGTCCACCTCTTCACTGTCACTGTCACTGTCAGAATCTTAAGCTGAACTATATATTTCAACGTTACAGTTTTGATATATCTACTCGCGTACTGTTGTGTTTATATTCTTCGACTCGCGTTAGTTAAATTAACTTGTTAACCATAAACTGTAAAATACGCGTTAATTTAATCAATTTTAGAAGTACCTGAAAGCAATTCGCGTTAATTTAATCAGTTTTAGAAGTACCTGAAAGCAATTCGCGTTAATTAGATGACACGTTAATTTACGTCGCGTTAATAAAGTGCATCGTTAATTTCCTATAATAAGGGACCGGTCATTATTTATGGTGGGGGGTGGCACCGAAGAGAAATGTTTTTCGTAGCAAAAATTTTGCTGACCCAACCATTAAAAAGTCAAAAATTTGATTACCCAACCTCAAATATCAAGTAAAAAATAAATACCCACCCCTGGCCAAAATTAAACTTTACAAAAGATTACCGTTCAGTTGTCACATATGTCCTTTACCCGATTTCTGTGACACTGCATGAGGAGTTTGATAACTGCTTGTGAAATTTGCTGCAGTCTAATGTATCATGTTGTCGGCACATGTACTTTCTTTGAAGACACCATTTGTCTTCTAACAAATTGGAAAATGATCAAGACAGTGACTGATTGATTCACATATTGTATTGACATATGACTATAACTTTTTATTACCCAACCCTTGAGTTGTTTTGTTTTTCATTTACCCAACCTTTTACTTACTCAAAATTTAGTTTACCCAACCTTTTTCTCTTCGGTGCCACCCCCCGCCATAAATAATGACCGGTCCCTAAGGTATATCCTTCAAAGTAAACTCTGTAAAACTAAAAACTTTCCAGTCTTCATACTACAATCGTGTTATAAAGATTTGGAACACAGTGTGCCAAGAAGTCTCACCTGACATTTTCCGTAATCCAAACTCGTTTAAACACTATCTTAAACGTAGATACTATAAATTAGTAATGTTTATGACGTAATATGGCTTGTACGTGGTCATTAACTCGTGACTGTCCTTGCCATAGGACTTAATACCACAAGTAATATACAGGGTGTCTCAAAAAACCGCTACCCTTAGAAATTCGCCATTGTTCTAATTTGAATGCCTGAACCTTGTTGAAGCCATGAATGCGTAAACATTTTCACGGGATGCATATATTAAAGATCTTCGGAATTAAAATATCCTTGAAAAGCGAAATTGTTTATCCTGGGAATTGAAAGTAGGTTCATACAAAAGTATAACTGCACGAAAATCGTTCAATTACATATTAGTGAATGTCAAGCAAATGGCTCAACTGAGCACAGAGTAAAGAGTATTTGTCTTATTGTCCATTCAAATTGTTCATGCACCAATGAGTTCAAGATAGCACTCAGGCATTCAAATTAGAACAATGGTGAATTTCCAAGGGTAGCGGTTTTTTTGAGACACCCTGTATATGTGTGTGTATATTTAATTAACTACAGGGTGTCCCAAAAAAAACGAGAACTATTGAAATCACGTATTGTTAAAATTGAATGCCCTACTAAAAAGCTGAACGTAATGATGCGTAAAATATTGACATGGTGCATGTATTAAAATTTAGTTAAGAACATCTCCTTGTAAAGTGCGCGATTTTCTGCTCTTGGGAGTCTAAAGCAGCTTTCTAAATAGTTTCTTTATGCATAAAATTTACTTACGTCAATCATTTATGCACTCGTGGGAACCAACAGAGTGCTAAGGCATTCAAATTCTAACAATTAAATTGTTATTGGTGATTTCAATAGTTTTCGTTTTTTGGGGGACACCCTGTATATCTAAACTAATTACGGGGAGCACCTCGCATGGGACTTTTAGTGTCCCGTTTGTGCTTTTCCGTTTGAGTTGAGCGTATCTACTAATCTACGATTTGTGACGTGTGTTTGTCTTCGTTTGTAAGTATTTATCTATGTACCTGATATAGTAGCCTACGTATGTAGATTGCTCAATAGATTCATTAAATAAATAAATGGACTCTAGTACAAACACTACAATGGACTCCAAGATTCGTTAGTCCCATCGATCCTAGAGTCCATTGTAAACAATACAATGGACTCCAAGATTCATTAGTCCCATCGATCCATTCACGATTCATTCCGACTAAGTTTCGGTTTTGAATACCTTGGACTTGGAAAGGTCATATGGTACCAGCAAAAACTACGTGAGATACTTGGTTGAAAACAAAGAAGTACCAGACCGTAATATTGGCGTATACCTCTGGTACGTATAAGTGCGCGATTTATGACGAAACAAGACGCCAACACACTGGCCTCAGGCGTTCACACTGGCCTCGCGGTTGGTAAAATACCATCGCAATATTCTAAAAAATAATTTGAAACATGTAGATGTTCTTCACGACCGTCACTTCATGATCACAAACATTTAGAGGACGGCACAATAAAAATCCATACAAAACCAACAGAGTTCAGCGATATCAATCGAAAAACACAGAAAAATTCAAGCGCATGCGCAATGAAATATAATAAAATACGTCCCACAATTACAGCGTCCAAGATTTGTAACGTAGTTAAATGCGAGATTCGTTCTGTTTGACACTGTGTAGAATTGGTTGTAATCAGCGTCAGCATGTTTTAGCTAAATTGCGCAATCCTGAGCCCACGATGCCGCAATGGAAAGTCGCACTTGCGACAACCAAAAAGACAGCATTTTCAGCAAGGGCATTCTATGAGCCAGTGTAATAATTACGGTCAAAATGGGAAAGGATACAGACACTAGAAATAGTTTACACTACAAGTCTATATTCATATTCACATCCACTCTATATGACTACGTCTACGGGTGACCTTACACAGACGCGTTATTACGTTGAGCACTTTCAAGTTAAATTTGTTCTTGGATATATGCTTGGATATATGTTGCCAATGCCTGGATATATGTTGCCAATGCATGGCCATAGTATCACGTAATGCTTGGAAATATGTTGCCAATGCATGGCAATAGTATCACGTATATTTTCGAATATTTGCCAACCATGAAAATTCAAGACAAGGAAAAGCAACATGACGGCAGATTGACACTCTTAATTGAAAACTGTATACGCCAATGAATACAAACTTTAAATACAAGGAACGCTTAAGACTTGAAAGGTTTGCCTACAATGAAAACAATGCTCAAATAACCTGGGTGAGTACGCAGGTGTATCTATATATAAGAGTGTAATTCCATGTATATTACTAAGTAATAGCATGGTTTCTTGCACAACTGGGAAAAGTATACGTTCGTGAAAGTCTTTGAAAAGCTCACTCGTCCATGCACTTTTTCCAAATTGCACTTAACCATCCTATTTATACATATACTAACAATATATTAAAACAATTATATAAAATCGAATTATTAATTACCCTCGTTGCTAGAGGTTCTCGTATCTTCCGCCGTATTCTCGTCCACGAGAGAGTTTGAGCAAGACAACGAAGTACGAAGACGAAGGCGTACTTGACAATTTTTGCTGCCTGCACTTTATGATTATCTTGCGCAAACTGAACTGGACGTCACTGGTGGTTGCTCAGCGTGACTTCCCATGTGTCGCTGTTTATGAATACTGACCCTAATTTATGGCCTGACCCAGAAAAAAACAGAGAGACATGAAACTATATCCCGTCTTTGTCCTCCTGCCTTCGTTCGGAACGAAGTTCACAACGAATTTTGCCAAAATATTCGTTGTGAACGAAGGCAGAAGAACGAAGACCGGGATATGGATTCATGTCTCGCTGTTTTGTCCTGATCAGGGTAAGGATTTGGGTCCGCATTCATAAACAGCTAGACGTGAATCTCTAATCTGTCTTCACCCCTGACCCTAAACTCAGAATGCGCAAGATAATGTGCAAGACAGGCAAAGATTGTCAACCACGTCGTCGTCGTCCGACTTTGTTCTCTTGCTCAAACTCTCTCGTATTTATTTCACGCGAGGCAAAGAGAACCTCTGGTGGCACGCGATATAAATATCACTTCCTTTGGTACAAAATTTGTACCAAGCACATGATTGGTTAGTTATGATTAGCAGTCACATGAAGTGATTGGCTAAAAAAACCGTTTATAAATCTCAGAGAACATAATGTGAACAAAATACAGAAATATGTACATGTATTAATTAAACGTATTTAGAAAATGCATAACTTTTAGTATGGGTTATTTGAGAGTAACGTAGTTTGTTCCGCTACGAACCTCTGAGATATGAACTCACTGCTTAAAAAATCTTCTGCGCTGGAGAAGACCTGCCATCGCGGCATGACTTATGTTGACGGCATGACATGTTCACTCTATTAGAGTAATATTTGTAAAATATAAAGGTTGCTTAATACGCTCGTTCAAGGTTTTAAATTTTGGTATTTTTTTTACTTTAATAGTTATTAATACGATTTATTTTGCCAATATTTTCCCGTTGTCCTTCAAGGATAACCATATCCTCCGTTTGACGTTTGGATTTTATATACAGCACGTTGCGAGAATAATCTACATGTTTCTAAGGAGTTGTTTAGGCTGCTATTTTTAATACTTTTAATACACAAGGCTGCCAAAACACCAGAATAGCTCTCTTTGATGGTTTGCCGTAGTATGACAACCCGGAAGTTTAAACAACTCAAAAAATATAAAACCAGTTTTGCAAGTTCTTAAACGACAACTCAGCATGGAAGTGAGATTCTCATTGCGTGCCACCAGAGGTTGGCGCCATTCCTTCGTACAAATTACGTAATTTATAATACGGTGGCACAAGAACCTCTGGAACCAGGGTAATTATTAATATTAATATCAATCCAGGTCAATTTGGAATCGTTATACAAGGAGACATGCGCGCACTTTCAAATATGTTGCTGGAAAACATGTTCAACTGGGATAATTTAAACCCAAATAGACTGAAACAAATCTTACCTATAGGACATGTACAGTAATGTTGGCTTTCACATTGTAAATTGGGTTAAAAAGCTAGCTGTCATTCAACTGGGCCTTAACAATTGGGAAATGTTGGTTTTCATCATTGTGAATGAAAATGTCACAAAGCTTACGCGATGTCTGTTAAAATAGGTCATACGAAATACGCATAATCCCAACCATATATACATGTACTATATACAGTAAAATCCCATTTGTGAAATTACCATTTTGAAGGCATGCATATATATAAGCCTAAGTTTATAATGGAAGGTTTAAGATATTTACTTTATAAGTTTATCTGATTCAGATAACACAGCAGTGGTACACTTAGTCTCATGCAACTTTAGGAAATCTTTGCGATCGAATTCCTTGTTACATATCTGACATTTAAAAGGCTTGACTCCGCTATGCTTTCTCTGATGTCTGATTAAGTTTCCGCGTTGGGCAAACTTCAACTCACACTGGTCACAGGCAAAAGGCTTCTCTCCAGTATGGGTTCTTTTGTGAGTTACTAAGGCACTTTGCTGATCAAAGCTTTTGTTGCAAATGTCACAAGTATGTGTCTTCTTTCGGGGACTAACTGCAGAATTCACGCTCCCGCTGACAGGGGATTGTGGTGTAGCTGCACTTCGGCTAGTACCCCGTACTGGGCTTCCTTGTAACAGAACGTCATGTGTTTTCACGTGTTCAGCCAAAGTACTCGCATCATTACATTTCTCGCCACATTGCAGACAGTGATACAATATTTGTCCACTTTCACTTGTTTGGGCAATTTGATTCATCTCACCTGTTTCACTAGTTCGCGAAGTTTGATTCGTTTCAGTTGCACCATTTTGACTCGTTTCACCTGTCTGCAAACTCGTATGACTTGTTTCACCAACTGGATGCGTTTGATCAGTTTCACCGGTCTGATCCATATCACCAGTCTGAATGATGTGAACAATTTGACTCCTTTCACCAACACGACTTGATTCACCCGTTTCACTAATTCCAGCAGTCTGACTAGTTTGATGAGATTGGCCAGTTTCACCAGATTGACTCATATCATCATTCTGAACGTTAGGACCGGCCTGACCTGCTTCACCAATAAGAGCTGTTTCGGCCGTTTGACTCGTTTCACCGGTCTGACCAGTTTGGCTTGCTTCGCCATCCTGATCAGTGTTTTCACTTTGAATCATGGGACCAGTCTGGGTCGCTTCACCAACTTGATTTGCTTCAGTTGTTAGACCACTCTGACTGGTTTGACGAGTTTGAGTTGTTTCAAAATCCAAAATCGTCCGTTTTCTACCTCGGGAACTTTTAGGTAAATGTACTTGCTCGTGAGTTTTCATTAAATCCTTGCGCTTAAATGTCTTTGGGCAGAAAGGACATTTATATGGTCTGATATCATTATGGTTTTTCTTATGTCGACGCATGTTTCCTACTTGGCTAAAACTGACGCCACAAATATCGCACACGTAAGGTCGTTCGCCAGTGTGTTTTCTCATATGTTGTTTCATCGATCCCAACTGGCCAAAAATTCTACCACAAATATCACACTTGTGTTCCTTCTTAGCATGGCCTGCTATATGATTCACTAGACTTTGCGCATCAGAATAACACATTTCACAAATGTTACACTTATACGGGTTATCCCTGCGGTGAGTTTTTAAATGCTTATCAAACTGCACCGCATCTGAAAACTTCGACTTACATGTCTTGCAGCGAAGAACTGGATGAGCAATTTTTTTATGAGATTTTAAATCATTCTTCAGGGAGTATACCTCAGCACATAAGTTACACGGAAATCCACTTTCTATCATAACATGGGTTTTTTTGTGAGTCTTGAGAAGGTCCATTCTGTTAAACGTCTTTTCGCAGGTTTCACATTGAAAAGGTTTTACATCCGTATGGGTAATTTTATGCCGGTTCAAATTTCCCATTTGTGAAAACGTCCTATCACATTGGTCACATGCGTGAGGTTTTTCTCCAGTATGTGTTCGTTTATGAACAATAACTGCGCTTTCCACATCAAAGAATTTCTCGCACACGCTACACTGGAACGCTTTCACCTTCACTCCTTCGTGTGATTTCAAGTGTTTCTTTAGCAATGGCATTTTTTCAAACTGTTGACCACAAACTTGACAGTTAAGTTCTTGTTCTCCGGTAATGTTTATTGTAGAACCTGACCGGGCATTTGCCTCCTCATTAGAGTGAGATTTCTGGTGCAACTTCATTGCATCCATTCTAAAAAAAACCCAGATAATTATTCACTTGTTGGGCATCTCATGCACTCGATTGGACTAATGCTGAAGAATTTTGTAGATGGAATTTCGAGTGTAAATTTTATACATTTATACAATATATACCTAACCAGGAGCATGTAGCTACACGAAAAATGCAGGAGCATGCAGCTACACGAAAAAATAGGCCCTCTGGAAGGGATCAAACCTGCAGCCCTGCGATTCGGTGCGATTTGGACTCTGTATCTCATTTGGTTAGAGCGTTATTCAATGTAAAACTGTTTTGAAAGTTGTTTACTAAAGTACTGAACATAAACTCATAAGTTACAACATTTTGCTAATATGGCAATTATTAAAGCATTTACTTTACTTCAGAAGCTTTGCAAGTTCTATACGCCAACGTTGGGAATATTAACAACAAAACTTGGGAACCGCGTATTGTATAAAAGCGAAATGAAATCGACAATCTAATGAATTTATTTTAACAATTGTGAGCTCCAGAATTTCGTTCAACGATCTGAAGACTGATAACAAGTCCTGTCGGGGATAGCGTTGTCCAATTAGCCTTTTATCAAAAGAGATCACAGTGCATTCTGGGATCGTTTGGAGGGACAAAATATACGGTGACAGGCGTCAAACATGTGAAAGAGTAGAACAATCTACTATCAAATATCAACTCTTTAGACGACCAAAAATGAAATATCTCCTTTTTACATTAAACTTTTAATTTAAATGTGTGCTGCCATATTTCTTGGCCCTCCAACATGGGATTTGCGCGACTAGACCCAGGACTTTGGGAAATGGCTAATCGCCAACTAATGGGAGTTACAACATGGGAGTACGACGTATAACCGCTACAAAACCCTACAAAGATTGATTTGCTGAGATTCAGATGTCATATATAGGTATGCGTTTTCGAATAAATGAAGTATTGCATGGGCAACAGTTGAAAAAATAGAACCTATTAAATTCAACCAACCTATAAAATCCAACATGTTAAATTCTACAGTGGCTATGCCGGTAAATATTGTATGTATACAGTTATGAATCTTACTATAATATGGGATTTACAAAATGGGATTTACATTTGCGTGAAATAGCCTCTTAGTGAATTAATGAACTTACCTGGTGAATGTCTTGTCACAATGCATACATTTGTAAGGATTATCTCCTGTATGATTCCTCTGGTGTCTCAGTACGTTTCCCAGTTGAGTGAAAGACTTGTCACATTCAGAACAGCCATACCGAGTCCTCTCTTCATGACTTTTTGCATGTCGTCTTAATGAGCCTAGAAAATATAGCAAAATATAGTGAATATGTTCTTGCCAGTTATAAAATAAATAACATACTCCCAAGCAAAAGTGCTGTGACCATGAAGGGGTGTGGCTATGTGAAATATAGGAAGAAGCATATTCTGAAAATTAAAACTTGTAAGTTAGTAAAAATACGACTCAGTAGAAACAAGATAAAAAAATACAGGTTGTACTTCGTCTCTTTCCCATGGTCATTGTCAAATAAAACTACTAACTATAATTAGGTTCCCTGGGTTTATTCATAAGTAAAGTAAACGCATCATAAATTAGGTTAGGATTGAATGAAATGGTTGCTGTGTGACGTCATTAGTTAAAGGAGCAAGGAATCTTTGATTGACGGCATTAGTTAAATCACGTGAAATGGCTACTGCGTGATGGCATAAGTGAAGTAAAATTAAAAGGAAACAACTGGTGCACGTGTTATTAGTTAACTTAAGTAAAAATAAATTGCTGGTGTGACAGAACATTAGTTCAGCCAAGTGAAAATGAAATGGCTGTTGTGCGACGGCCTTAATTAATTATAGTAAAAATGAAATGGCTGCTATCCGATGGAGTTCAATAATTTTAGACCCGAGTTAAGACGTTTCCCAAATTAGCAGACATTTCGTAACTCTGGTGTGAATGTCGCCTCACAAAACGCTGATTCCCCGAGCTAAATTGAAACCTTTGAAGTGCAAGACAGAAACACAGACATAATATGTTATTTACCGGCTGCGAGGTAAACCTCAAGACCGTGGGGCAGCGTCGGTCTGGATGAAAATAACTGTGCGGTAAATAACGTTTCTATTTTTTAGCATGCAGATGTAAAATTAAATTCATTAAAATTCCAGTGTTACATGCGAACTAATTTGAGATCAGTGCATGCGGTTGTGGCATTAAAGCGTAGCTGGCAAGAAACACACAAAAAGACATATATAGTTTCAGTAAAAATGTATAATATGATAGCAGAAAAACATTGGAATAAAAATAAGCCTGGCGTTTCGGCTTTGACAAATTCAGTTGCTTCGACAACGACAGGTTCATGTTCACACATATAAATGAATCTGTTTTTATTTAAATCAACGCTTTTCTACAAAAGGATAATGAAGAAGGTATGTCGTGGCAGCTGTGACGTCATGTGCAAACACTCTATAGCTTTCTCGACGTATGTCTTACACATTCTGACCTTTAGTCCCATTTCTTCCGGCAAAATATTGTCAATTCTGATGTTGCATATCGTGCTTAGTATGAAGTCTTTAGGGCTTGGTGCAATTCATTTTCGTATTCTGACTATTGTTAGCTACGTTTTTCAACTTTTTGGGCAGATTTTTTAGTTTAAAAATTGATTTACTCCTCGGTTTTCGGCGCGAAAGTCAGAGCGGGCAGTGGCATTTCAGAGCAGGAAGTTGCGTTTCAGAGCGGGTCGGAAAGGGATGTTGGTACCAACGCAGGTATAGACCCATTGCCTCCACTGTGTTCGCGCAACATCATATCATTGTGTCGAATTGGAGCGTTTTATTAATTTTGTCACAGCATTATGTTCTTGTGCCGAGTTGAAGCGTTTCATTAACTTCATTAATAACTTCCATACAGCACTCCAGTTCACACGGGAGATCAGTGAGACCAGTGTTTCAATGTCAGATGTCCTTGTGTTAATCAATGGCAATAAACTATAGTTACCCCTGTTTTGTATAAGCCCACTGACTCCCCCCACAGCTATCTTCTAGTTTCCTTGCCACCCCCACCACGCCAAAAGGTCGATTCCCTTCTCTCAGTTCCTTCATCTTCGCTGCATTTTCAGTGAAGATTAGGACTTCTAAGCTAACAGTCTGGAAATGAGAGACTTTTATGTCCAACGCGGCTATCCACCTCTCTCTGAGACCCTCTAATTTCGGCACCTAAATCTACGTACCATATCAAATAGCACCAATTCACGTGCACCTCCTAATTCCATCTCATCTACACACTAAGGAAATGGGAAGATTTTTGAGGACAAGGTTTGGTGAGCATCGGTGTGCTGTCATTGGCAATGTTATGCTGCACATTCCTATCTGTTTTTGCCTGATAAAAGCAGACATTAAGAGTACTTTTATTTCTCCCCGTAGCCATTACTTGCAATTGCTGTAGTTTTCCGTATATTTGTATAGGAAATTACACGGTTCTCGAAGTATTAATGAAAAATCGCACGCGTGTTTGGCGAAATATTTATAATACCGCGATTGCGTAGCACGAGCGGTATTATAAATATTTCGCCAAATACAAGTGTGATTTATCATTAATACTTTGAGAACAAGTATAATTTCCCACAAGTATTAATATCATTTTATAGTCAATTTTACACAAGCAATCAATGATAATTAGAAAAATTGTATTTTATGTATTCAAGCGCGAGCACAGCCATGCATATACGCGCCTTTGTGGTCAATTATACAGGCCTTAAAATATCGGTCGGTCACGGACATTGTCCGACCCATTCGTGAAATTGTCCGACGTAGAGAGGAAACCACCGGACATTCTGTCCGACCTAAGTGAAACTGAGGTTTGTTGTTTGTCCGACCCGAGTGTATTTGTGTCCAACCGAACTGTAGCTTTGTCCAACGTAAATCAAAATGTACCCTAGCCCAGGAATAGAGGCTTGTATGTTAGATGGAAAATCAGAGTACTATTGTATAAAAGGTGAACTGGAAATGTTGTTTTAACGTAGTCAAGCGCGGGGCGGCAAGCGAAATGGTGAGGTGGAAAACGGGCTTAAGTTGTCGAACTCTTACTGCTGTTCTGGAAACCAAGTTAATTTTGGCTTGGAAATAAGTATGAAAGAAACAAATTATTTAATATCTTCACAACATTTACCGTTCAGAATGAATACATTATGCTGATATTCATTTGTGTCATGCATTCACACTTATTTCCGAGTCAAAACTGAACTGAAGGTCATCGGACATATGTCCGACCCAAACTCAACGTCACCGGACATTTTGTCAGACGGCCCTGTAAACGGTCTTTTAAGGCCTGTCAATTTTGAGAGCATTTAATGACATTAATTTTCAATTCATACCTGTAAAAAATGTGAATAATCTTTATTTTATAGTCTATAATCGTTATGAAAGCACAAATAAGAGCTCATTGTTCATGTAAAATAAGAGCTCAGAAAATGTACATTTTCAATTTGTTTATTTTGATTTTGACATTTTGTTTAATCCACGCGGCCTCGCGTATCCGTGCCGATTAATTTTTAAGCCTGGCAATTTTGTCGGTGATTTTGTGTTTCTGACGGATGCAAATGAGTGAACTCGCACACAAAAGTATAGAGTCGCTTTTCAGAAGTAAACAATTCTAAATCTTTTGCATGTCATTCAGTCGATCACATTTGCCAGGAGGACAAAAATCGCCGACAGAATTGCTAGTGTGAACCCAGGTTTTAATACGCACACTGTGCGTATATTAATGTTTAATCGGCACGGTTTTAACCAATCAGAATCGAGTAAATTGAATAAAATGATATTAGTATTATTTAGATCTAATATTATCTAATATAAGATCAAAACGATTTCTTCCAAGGGTTAATAAAAATGTACAATGCCTTTGTTTTGCCCCACTAGGCCACTTTAATTATTGCTCAACAATTTGGAACGATGGATCCTGTTCTGTTATTGATAAGCTATCGAAGCTACAAAGGAGAGCTGCGCGAGTGATCACTGGAGACACTTACGATGTTCGTTCCATGCAAAGAATATTGCAAAATCTTAATTGGACACCATGCAATTGAGCAATCTTTAACAAATCAAGAAATGATAATGACATTTAAAGCTCTAACTACCAGGTTACCAAATTATCTTGCAGAACTATTTACCAAATGTGAAAACAATAACTATTCTCCGAGAAGCAACAATACTAAATTGATACTAAAACCTAAAACAAATTTTCTGAAAAATCATGGAACGAAACTATCTAGTGAAGTAAGCATAATGTAGAGCAGAAATCAATATTTTCTTTCAAACGTCATTTACATGCACTAAATAATATTGTAAGGTAAGTCTGCAGCATAATTATATTTTCATTAGTAATTTATTTATTAGTAATTCATATAAAGAGTGTGCACACGGCCCTTTAAAAACCAGTGTTGCATGTATATATTTATCACTTATTTACTGAGACCGAGGGAAACAGTGTGTTTTGTGGACCTGAGACCGTCGATGTTTCCCGAGGCGAAGCCGAGGGAAACATCGACGGTCGAGGGTCCACAAAACACACTGCTTTCCCGAGGTCTCAGTAAATAAGTGTTTTATTATATATCAATAGTCAAAGAAACAACAAATTAAAGAACAAATGAACGTAAATACATGAAATATTTTATTGTTAAAACGTTATATTAATTTAAACACTGGCTACACTGCAGTTACTTAAAGCGAAAGTTTTAATTACGTACTAGGCATGTCCAAAGGTCGCATCTTCACGTGATGGCGCACGTGATTTTTTTTGTTATTCGCCGGTCGATAACGTATTATCTCCCTCTCGCGCTGTTGCGAGGGAGACAGCCTAATTTCGTCACTCTCATGTGATATGCTCTCAACCAATAAAACACTAGAAAAATGCGACTTTGACTATTGATATATAATAATATTGTTTAACTGAATGCCTGTATATATTATTGTTTAACTGAATAGGCTACCGTGTGTAAAGAATTTTATTAAACTATTATGAATTATACATCTGATTGTCACGTGCTCGCTTTTATATTTACTGGCAAGCTAATGTAATTAGAATTTGACCAGTAAGAGAAATCAAAATATGGGAATTTCACCAGTAAGAGAAATCAAAAGTAAACTTGAGGCACATAATTAGAAAATAATTGACACACTTTTCCTCACAAATTGTTTAATCATAATTAATTAATATAATAGTTTTTTTAACATAAATACATATATAGCACGAATACATTGGTGTATCTTTTACCTTATATTTTCAGAGAGTTTGCCAGATATGGATATTTAATAAATTAAGGTAATAGTAGCTGTTTGTAATGAATTGAGAAATTTGAAAATGGCGTAGCAGATGTATTATTGTTTAACTGAATATATAGGCTACCGTGAATAAAGAATTTTATTAAACTATTAAACTATACATCTGATTGTCACGTGGTCGCTTTTATATTTACTGACAAGCTCATGTAATTGGAATTTGACCAGTAAGAGAAATCGAAATATTGGAATTTAACCAGTAAGAGAAATCAAAAGTAAACTTGAGGCCATGCATAATTAGAAAATAATTGACACACTTTTCCTAGCTCCCAAATTGTTTAATCATAATTAATTATAATAGTTTTTTAACATAAATACATATAGCATGAATATTGAAATTTAACCAGTAAGAGAAATCAAAAGTAAACTTAAGGCACATAATTAGAAAATAATTGACCCACTTTTCCTCCAAAATTGTTTAATCATAATTAATTATAATAGTTTTTTAACATAAATACATATAGCATGAATACATTGGTGTATCTTTTATCTTATATTATATTTTCAGAGAGTTTGCCAGATATTTAAGGTAATAGTAGCTGTTCGTAATGAATTGAGAGATTTGAAAATGGCGTAGCAGACTCCATGCACCAAGATAAAGGGGATTGGGACATAGTCCCCGAAATTTTAAGATACAACCTACAAAAGAGCATTTCCCCCCTAAGATCTACTGTTCAAAAGACGCTTAACATGACTTTAAGTTCGTTTTTGTTTTGAAAAGACATATAGCTACTTTCGCTTAATATCCAAATGAATTTACGTTCGTTTTCGTTTTGATAAGATTTATATTTAATGATTTTGGTAACGCTTGCTAACATGCCAATGTGGTGCTTGGTGTCCCTGGTGCGGTACTGTAGTGCTTATTTAGTGCTATTTGCCTGTCTTCATCCACACAGTTGTACTAACTGATTTCGTTTGGCAGGCCAATAGGCGAGAAATGAGAACTGTGTCTTAAGATCAATGACTTTATCACTAAAACAGCTTATCACTAAAAAATGGCTGAAACCAATTATTCAGAACTTAGGACTACCTTACTTGAAGTATGGATTCCACCTGTAGGTGTGCGATCAGTGGCTGATTTATGGACTAGTCTCATTGGACACCTGGAAAACGACGCTTGTGCAACCTTGTACGCAGAATTGGTCAAGCAACTTCATATTTCAAAACGACAAGTTGAACGGTTCAGTTCCTTCAAAACAAATATCGATTGTTACTTTGATAAAGAGCCACCATTTGAAGTTGGTGAAACATTCCTGTCTGGAAGTTGGGGAGAAGGTCTTTTCTTGTATGGTGAACACTGTTCCATGGAACTGCCAGATATGGACTTCATGTCTGTGTTGAAGAATATTTCATTTTCTCAAGAAGATCAGGTACAAGGTTGCTTGCTTTTAAGGGAAGATACGCCTTTTGTTCACGCGTTTATTACAGACAAAGAGAAGCTAAAGATGTGGAGCGACTACCTCGCAGACGAAGTTCACTCTAAAAATAGACAGCAATTGTCTTCGAGGAAATTAAAAGAAAAACTACAAGAAAACTGCGAATATATTGGAAAACTTTATTGCTATACAGGTAACTTTGGAGAGGAAAAACGCGAAAAACTTACGGAAGGCGCGGCAATAACCATAAGAAAACCCAAACCAGCCAAATCTTACACAGCTTGTTTCACGGACGGATTTCTGGAATTTGGTGAACCAATAAACGAAAATACATTTTCTAACATTTTGGAGGCAGCGGTGATGGGGATGTATGATATACACTATAAGATAGTCCCTTCCACTGATATTGTGTTGTCCATATTTTGCGAAGGGTGGCCATCGTGTGCACGGGAATGGATCACACGAGAACGACTTTGGCCAGAAATACATTCGGTGGAGAAAATCACCAAAGGTGGATTTCACATTGTCCCAAAGAGCTCACCAGATGGAGAATTTCGTTTGTCTTTTTCCTGCGCTGAAACTATGCTAATCCAAACACTTTCCCCATTACAGCACAAAGTATTAAAAGCTTCCAAAGCGGTAGTGAAATATCATCAAAATACCTGGGGCCAAAATCTCAAAGAGATTATATCAAGTTATCATTTGAAAACCATCGCATTTTGGCATTTTGAGAAAACCTCACAAGAATCTTGGACTGAAGAAACTTTGGTTCATCATCTTGTCACATTACTTGAGGAGTTAGCAGAGGTCTTGAGAATGCAAAGTCTTCCAATGTACTTTATGCCAAAGGTCAATATATTGCAGTGTAATGATCCCGAAGTGGCACTAGAGTTAGTGGAAAATGTCTTGCAAATTTCCAGAAACGTGTGCGCTATTTCGGTAGCGGTGAAGAGCATAAACCTTTCCAGATATTTCAGAGCACGGAAGGATGAATTTAAAATTCTATTTAGGAAATTAAATGCTGAAAGTGTGAAAGGAGAAAGTTCTACACACGCGACAGACATGATCACAATGTGGTCAATCTGGAGAGCTGTTACAAGGATATATAAGAATCGATTTAAGTAAACAATGTGCTTGTACAATTATCATTACATTGTAATTTATCTAATATATCTATATGCAGCTAATTCAAAAAAGGTTGTCCTTTGGAAACCTTAAAATCTAAACCTTAAACTCTAAGCGTGCAAAGCATAATGGGAGCATCATTTGATCAGTTTTAAAATAATATATATGGGCCCATTTCTTAGAGACCTGGTAAATATTTCCTTACGAGAACAATTCATTCACATATAGCTGCAATATTCAACTGCTAAGCTTGAAACGTGTGCTCCAATTAAGCCTTGCGCGCTTAGAGTTTAAGGTTTAGAGTTTGCAAAGGACAACCTTTTTTGAATGGACCGTTAACCTTATAACTAAAATTTTGATCTAGACAAAAATTTCATCACAGCTTGAAAGAGCATCACAAAATTAGTAATATTCCAAAGTTTCGTTACGAAATGTTGCAAAATGCGGATAACATAGCCATGCGAAGTTTGCAATTTTCAGTCATTTTAGATTACAAACGGGAAATTGATACACAAATCGGGTGTTTGGGTATCAATTTCCTGTTTGTAATCTAAAATGACTGAAAATTGCAAACTTCGCAAGGCTATATTATCCGCATTTTACAACATTTCGCAACGAAACTTCGGAATATTACTAATTTTGTGATGCTCTTTCAAGCTGTGATGAAATTGTTGTCTAGACTTGTCTAGATCAAAATTTTAGTTATAAGGTTAAAGGTCCATTGGCTGTATATAAATATAATTGTAAAGCACAGCAATTCAGGTTGAAAACTGGGAATTTGGTATATACAGTAGCATATGATGCTACTGTATATGACAGCATGCCCCTGTTTGGATTAAAGATCAAATATGTCAGAAGATTGTAGATCCCAGAAACAGAATAATTAACTTGAATTAAATATTAGTCTGATGAGAGCAATGGGTTGTGGGACAAACACTATTGATGGAAGTCCATACAGAAATCATGAAGAGGTTCAATGATTTTTTTCACACTTCCTTCCCCGTTTCGTCACCTTTTGTTGAACAAGTCACTTCTCAAGCAGCGTACATGTAAGTGTGGAATAAAAACTGATTTACGTGAATGTTTTATACAAGAAACAAGGCCCGAAATCATTTTTGTTTCTTTTGCATGGTTCAAATGTCAGTTTAAATATATTCCAGTATCTTGATTTCTCAAAAAATGTTTATGTTAACATTTATCCAAATCTGCTTAGACTGGAATACAATAACCAGTTCTGTTTTATAGCAGGTGTGACTTAGGAAAACAAAGGTAAATAATGTTAGCCAATCAGCGCGTTTGTTCACATTTTGCGTCCTTCACCAATCAGAATGCCCGAAATTCGAAAGATATAAACAAGAGGAGGAAGAAAATAACACCTTGTTCTACGCCCTCCGTGCCATTCGATATTAAACTTTTTACTCCAAAACTGACAAATTCTCATAAAGAGTGCTTTTTTCTTTAATTTCCTCGGTGGGATTTTTTTAATTCAATCTATAACGCGAAACATTTATGTCTGAATAACAGTGTTTCGACGCGCGTAAAATGGTAGACTCTCACCTGCACTATCTTAACACGCACATAATAAATTCGTAGATTTTGCAATTTAAACCTATTTTCCCCACACCACAGCCAACACAGACTAATATAGTTTAGTATAAATTTCCAGGTGACTATTGATTTTTCTGCATTCTGATTGGTCAAGATTCACTGTCTCTGAAGTGATAGTCACTGGTCAGTAACTATAGCTTTTTTTTCAAAATGGCTGCTCGTTTTGCGTAGTAACAGAGGAGGAAATTGCCAAAATTAAAGAAGATAGCATTCCGAAAAAATCCAAACAAGCCACAAAATATGGTTTAAAAATATTTCAAGGTAAAATATTAAACTTTACGTGCTTTTATTTGGAAAAAAACTGGCTTAGTCGCAACGCGACATAGAGCCGTGTCTGAGATTTAAATTTTGTAAACAAACTATATTCAAAGTGAAAATAAATTTATTTGAAGTGAATTTTTATAAAGTTGTGTGGATTATTGTTTGTAAACACCTGGAAATTTATGCTAAAACAATTAGTTGCCTCAGGCTCGGTGATTACAAGCCTCTATTCGCCTCGCCTTCGGCTCAGTGAATATAGGCTTGTAATCACCTCGCCTTCGGCGACTAATTGTTAAATATAGTCTATGTTTTTAAATATTACCTATCTAATCTGATCTCGCATCGGAAATGCGTCACAACGATCCATGACTGACAGATACAGTATCGCAGACCTGCATATCCGGTTGCCAGTTAAAACTAAAGTAGGGGAATGTCAGACCTTCGCCAAAGGCATATTTTTTCTAACAAACTGTTCACGAGGGTTCGTTCTGTTCGTCTTCTGGTTGGTCGTCGTGGTTAGGGTCTCTGCCTCACTTTCTTCATCGCTTTCGCCCTCTTCAAAGCGAGTCGCCGGAGCAAACACAGCGTTATTCGCTGATGTTGGGCAGAATACATTCGATGTGGAAACGAATGCTCAAAACCACGGAAAACGTTCCAAAGTGGATTAACCTTTTTGCAGGTAGGCAAATCGCATTTTCTATGATGGAAATTTTAATGTAAGATTCATATTTTTTATATTTATGTTGCATACATTAGTCAGTGCGTCCTTTCAAATTGTTCCAAAATATGATTGCGTGCATGGCAAGGTTAAAACAGTGCTCAAAATCTCTAGAACATCTTGGACAATGTTTTGAATCCGACTGCGGCTTAGAATTAGCAGTCCTAAGACAGCGGAACTGGCAGCTGTTCATCTGACTTCATGGCACCCCATAAGTGTACAGTCAATGTAAATTACCACTTCCCCAACCCAGAAGTTGGCAGTTTTTACTTCTCAGCAATGCATATTCAAAATTGCTGGACTGTATAAATATATCGCTTTGGTCTCTGTAACGCTGCTTTGCCCCGATGGCCCCTGCACTTCCTAGAATTATTGAGCAGGCGGGGATTTATGTTGACTGGAAAACAGTTTACCATAATCACAGGATATTATTTAAAGATTTGCCTACCAATCTACTGCCTCTTTTGAAATTAAAGATTTTTAAAAGCATTAAATTACTTGCAGGCACACCAATTCCAGCAATTGGTCTGCCTGTGTATTACTTTAAGTGTGCAGTACTTGCATTGGGTTAAATTGAAATTGTTCAACCACTGAAGCCCCATTTGTTTTCTATTTACCTGTTTGGGTTTGGTGGATTTTCGATTGATGTGAACCCTAGCGGGAGCACTCGATTGGTAAGAATTTTCTCGCCAAACAGGTTGGAAATTTATTAATCCTTTTCGAACTAAAATTAAATTATTTTTATAGGTGGCAAAAATACTGATTGAAAGGAATTTATTAATCCTTTTCGAACTGAAATTAAATTATTTTCTATAAGTGGCACAAATACTGATTGAAATTAACACTGAGTGGAAGTTCTCAACTGAATATTCATCGAATGCAGCCAAGTGTTGACGTACCGTTTCGAACACAGAAGTGGCATTTCTTTCCGAATGTGGAATGTGGAAAGCATTACCAGCAATGCTTTGTTATATTGACGTCTTGTAAACACTACAAACATAACCCAACAATGGAGCAAGGACTGGAAAAAGAGTTCATATTTGTTGCACTTGAAGACAATTGAGTAGATGCTTAGAACCAATGGGACATAATTGTCAAGAAGATTCAAAAGTGTGAGAAATTGAACATCTTTGCACTTGCAAAAGATTGATAGAATCATGTCCCTTACAAGTGTCCATCCCCCTTTGCACTTGCAAAAGACTGACAGGACCATGTCCCTTACAAATGTCCATCCTTCATATAGTAAATAACTTCGAGCAACAGAGATATTTGCCAAGGTTTCGGTTTCTCAGCCAGCTTAGCTTTCTTTCCAAAAAGAAATGAATAAAGATCAGCAAAAACTAGACGGAAATTTAATTGCCATTCAATTAAATGGCATTCAATTAAATGGGTAATGGACCAATCAGGGGAACTACATTCTTAAGGGCTGCAGGTATCGAAGGAGCATTAGAATAAACCAGCTGTTGGATAAAAAAAAAACAGAGTCATCATAAATTTGTTGACTTTTTGTTATAGGTGAACTCACAGTGATGGTCGAAGTTACACTTTCTTGGCTGTTGATTTGTTGACTATCTACTTCTGATTTTTGGCTTGTCACAATGCCCTCGGCTGAACTTTGCAAAATTTCAAGCTAAACAGCATATAATATGTATTCGTGAAAATATGTTTTAACCCTATAACCTAAAAATAGGTACGCTGTGTCGTACGTGTGTCTACTGGAATGGTAGCATCACAGATCTGTTGGTTAGAAAATATTACGCTGTATACCATTGAAAAAACCTTAAGGACAAAGCTTATCGAAAAGTGAGCAATTGTCCAACCCTTGGTTTACATTGTGCACGCTGCACACATGCAAAATACCAGGAAAATACTTTGGAGTATGAAAGAGGTGGTGCATTCGCTATCGATTTTCAAGATGCACATGGTCAATGGGGTAATTGCACGACAACTACGTTTTGATTCTGTTACTTTCTTGTAGACACATTGTTGCGTACAGCGGTGGTTCCAGCATGGGGGTGTGCTATGCCAGCTCTGGTGCTGAGTTATGTGGGTCATGTGTGCCGCCCGCCCATCAACTTGCTTAACTACTGTAAAGTCTTGCTTGACTACTGTATTTGAATTGTAATTGTTGTTCACAGTTCGCTTATCATCATGTTATTACTAAAATTACTGCATCTCATTTGTCTCCAATAATGTTTTGCTTTATCATGAAAATAGCAACCCCTCGATCCCCTCTGTCCTGGACTAGGTGGAGTACGCACCCCCTCCCCCAGTAAATCCATCCCTGGTTGCACACGAGATAGATGTTGGCTTAGAGTGGGTGCAGTTGTTATCATGTCATGCGTTGGTCACAACCACGTACTTGGCATGATCATCCATATCATTCTACACAAATGGTTCAGGAAAGGCATGTATTTAATGAAAATGCCTAGAACTAGATTTTTTGAAAAATGTTCTCAAGGTCCCACTTACATTAAAAAACCTAAGTGCATGACCTCTTCTATTTTCTTGATGGGGAATTACAGCAGATTTTGAGGAATTACAGCAGTTCAACTATCATGATAGGACTTTACACGATGTGCTACATCAATCGCAGCTACCATAAAGCATGAAACCATATAAAAAAACATTGATATGAATACAACACAAATTATTTGCATTCACGCTTACCTATTACAAATTCTCCCGATTCTCTATATGTATGATATATAATTGTCACTTACAGTACTTCAAATAAAGTTGTGGTACATAAAGAGAACTTAGAAATATGACTTATTGTAGGTTTCTGAACATCTAGAACCGACCTGACCGCGTAGCTCAGTTGGCAGAGCATTGGGCTAGTACTGCAAAGGTCGTAGGTTCGATTCCCACCGTGGACAGGCATATTTTTCAAGCTTGCCCGGTGTGGATATACACTCAGAGTAACTTCACAAGCATATTCACCTGAGTACATTACACCAACACAGAAAAATCATGATTATACTAGATTGCATTGATATAGAAGGAACTAGATTCTGTTCCGAAAGTATCACATACTCGAACCGACCTGACCGCGTAGCTCAGTTGGCAGAGCATTGGGCTAGTATTCCAAAGGTCGTAGGTTCGATTCCCACCGTGGACAGGCATATTTTTCAAGCTTACCCAGTGTGGATATACACTCAGAGTAACATCACAAGCATCAGCATCTCAAAGCTTATTATCAACCCGTTTGGGCAATTTTTTGTTTTACCCTGTCCAATGCCAGACAAATTTACTCGTGTAGGCCAAGGGAAAAGTCTTGCAACAAGTAAAATCATCTGAAGTTAGCCAGAGCAAAAGCAAAGATTGGGGCACATTGCAGTTAAATTGGTTTATATATAGTTATATTTGAGATGACATTTATAAACATTGAATATTTTTTACCACATCCAAAACAGCAGCGTATACTGAATATTATGCAAAATCAGGCTGTAGTTGTGCAATATTCTTAATCATGTTGCATTTCATGTACAAATTGTAAGCCATGACTGTTCTAACTATTTGTCGTTGAGTTCAGCTTTCGAACAATTCTGTTCACACATAAACTTTTGTACTGTTTCATGATTTTCATCTTCTTTTCACTTTCGCCAACTGAATGCTGAGCTGAATTGCAATCCAAAGAAAATCAAAATACACGATCTTGTTCGCATTTACAAACACTTGCCTTGTTCACCGAATTTTAAGCTTTCATCTTTCGACCAAATCCATGTCGAGATGGCTCCATGTCATGTTCAATAATATTAATATTATACGAGGGCAAATGCATTTTACGAGGACATTAATGCATTATACGAGGGCAAAGTACTGAGCTGTATCAGTGATACAAATTTCCCCATCGTACATTAATAATGAACGGAATGAACTTTGTCTTTTCCTATTACAGTACAACAAAAAACTACTTTGATATCGATGGATTCAATGCTTTTTCCAACCTCGTCATCTTTGCACACTTATCAGTCGCTGCAGTAAATCAGCGGCATGCTATATACTTCGTGTTATCAAACGTCAAAAAATTGATCACGTGGTTGCATGCTATCGCCTTCCTCAAACTCCATGGACCACAGGCGCGTAGCCAGCCCCATACGAATGGGGGTCTAAAGTGCCAAGTACATAAAAGTACTGTTCTGAAATATGCACGCTCCCACGTGCATATTTGGCGTGGCTTTTTGGTGATCTATATGCCACAGATTTGGTATATTTTATGCCATAGATGAAATATTTACGAGATACATTAACAAAGCATGTGTGTAATAAACTAATAGTAATAATATGACACGTCAAATTAGTAGATAAAGAAAGTTTTAAGAACTTGTTACTAAGTTGAGAAATGCTTTAATGCATTTTAAAATCACTTTCTTTTTGAAACGATACATGCACATATTATACAACATTTACACGAACGGGAACCTAATTTGTGTTCCGTTTTCAGGAATATAACCGCTTTCATCTAACTTTTAGATATGATAGTGGAAGTTTTCTAGGCTTCAAAGCAAATCTATCGACAAGAGAATGCAACTTAATATCTTCGGCTAGTAGACGGCTACATCTCTTTCGCTACTAACATGGTTGCTCTCGTGTAATTAATTGTTGATAATTTTAACTTTGCTGAGGCATCTTTCGCACGAAGCTATTGCAATCGGAATTATGGCTGCAATGTACAAATGATTCTGTGAAGGTTTAGGTAAAGGCCAGCGTAATCACTTTCACCAAACTTCTTTAATATTAAGTTCTTTTAATATTAATGGAAGGTAATGGTTCTTTCACCCCTCTTTGCATTCTTAGAAGGTAATGGTTCTTTCACCCCAGTTTGAAGTTGCACTTGTTGCGGCTTCAAATGCAGCCGTTGTATCAAGACGTGAAAATCTGTGATTTCGCGTTGTAAACAGAGCGATGACTAAATTATTCATATATTGTATTTACTCAATTCTTTTGAATAATTTATTGTATTGGTAGCCGTTGCCGTCGCGTTGCCGTCCTAAATAGTAAAGTCTATATTATTATCACTCCAACGCGCTGGATAGTTGAATGCAGATAATTGTACCAATACTGAAAATCGCCTTTTCAGCTCCCTCAGCAGCAGATCAAGCAGACAATAGTAAAAATCAGTACGAAATTTACTTTCTGCTGACACTGTTGTGCTGTTTTGAGTTGAGGCAACGTGGTGACTGAATGATATATCAAGCAATGTTTCATCAACGGTCCATCAGCTAGACGATTTGGAAGCGTTCTACGGCGTTTGTTACTGGGATCTCTAATCTTCAACGTGAAATTCGACTGCCTTGGATTCAGCAGTACGCACAAACTCGGCAAATTATTCCTCATTCCGGAAGAAGAAAATCTAGCGATTAGCGACGTTACCGCATCTACAGCAGACACTAAATATATTTCTTCTCTTTGAAGATGTTCTGAAGCGTTGCATCAAACTAAGCTATACATAACATACTGGATAGCCTGCGAACGCAAATACGCAATTATTTCAATTTAATGACGACAATTGATTTCTTTAAAAATATTTTCAACTTGCACCCCCCCCCAGTTTCTTTTCATATTTGGAAGCATTACAATATTGATCTATACAAAAAGTGTGGGGGGGGGGCGGACCCCCCCCTCCCATTCCCCCCCCCCCTTGGCTACGTTGGTAAAGTAAATATGTACAGTGTAATTAGGCTTGAACATCCATTTTTGCACTAGTTGGCAGCAAGGCTTTGCTTTGTGACTAAGGTAGAGAAACACCCGCAATGTGGGTGAGACACTAGGACCGATGTGGGTGGAGGACCACCCCCAATACGAGTTCGAGACCACCCCCAATGTGGGTGGGGACTACCTGCATGATTTTGTTTATTAATTTATTAATCATATGGCTTTTTTCAAAAAAAAATTTCTCAAATTGTTACAGAAACTCCCCAAATCAGTTCTCCTTATATGAGGGTTCTGAAAGGGTGATTGCTAGATAGTATACTTCAAAATAAGGTTTCCGTTTTTATAACGTAGAAAAAAATATCCTAACGCAAAACTAAACCCTAACCCTACTACTAACCCTATCCCTAACAATAACCTAACCCTAACTTATTTTAAAAATTGATATAAAAACGGAAACCTTATCTTGAAGTATACTATTCAGCAATTGCCGTTCTGAAAGGGGGCTCCTAATCCCAGTTTCCCAGTCCAAATCTTGAACAAATCCCATCGGCATCGTCCCACACTATATGTCTATTGTCTTGCTCAAATCCCATTCCCATTTTTTATCGTGTTTTGGTTGGTGAATCCCAGTCCCAGTGCATTGCCCTCTATTTGTGATGTTAAAACTATGAAAATACCTAAAAGTGAATAAAAGCAATGCCATTGACTACGGATTTTTTGGAAAGAGTGAAAATGTTTGACTTTGGTTTTTAGCTCAACAGCTTGATCTCTCGGAAGCAGTTGAATTTCCGTTTTTTAAAACTTTCGTAAAGACATGTTTTGTAAAGATTGTTGATTCCATGAGACGTTTTTCCCCAGTTCTACCTCAATGTATTCCTCGAAAACGTTTGAGATCACGACCAAACCTCGAGCTCGTAGGTTTATAACCTTTTCCCCTGCATATTTTGAATATTTTTCATGAAAAGGATTTATATTCCTTTCAATATTTTGACATTTTTGTATTTAACAGTGTTTTAGCAGTTTATTAGTTTCTGAGAGAAAAAAGAACTTTCTAGCGAAAAAGGTGCGAGGTCTTCCCACCAGAAAACCATATAAATGTATTTAGAAGAAATGAAACTATCTCAACTATGTTCGGATATTAAAATATATGATGTTTGTGATGTTACTCTGAGTGTATATCCACACCGGGCGAGCTTAATCGAACCTATGACTTTGGAATACTGGCCCAATGCTCTGCCAACTGAGCGACGTGGTCAGGATGGTTCGAGTAAGTGATATTTCGGAACAGAATCTAGTTCCTTCGATACCAATGTAATCTAGTAATATGATATTTTTCAGAAAAATATCATATTACTAGATTACATTGGTATCGAAGGAACTAGATTCTGTAATATCACTTACTCGAAGCGTAGCTCAGTTGGCAGAGCATTGGGCTAGTATTCCAAAGGTCGTAGGTTCGATTCCCACCGTGGCCGGGCATATTTTTCAAGCCTGCCCGGTGTGGATATACACTCAGAGTAACATCACAAACATCTTATTATTCACCTGAGTACACAACACCAACACATTAAAATATATGTTAGAATCGTTCATTTTGTTTTATTTTCAGATATTTGAGGACTTTAAGATTACATTTACAGTACTTAGTACTTCATAATTATAATGTCTATATATACTGCTATAGGTCGAGCCACAGACTATTCTTTGAATTTGTAAAAAAACACACTGACAGAGTATTTCATCAAAAGATAGTGCAGGTGAGAATCAAACCACTGTTATTCAAACATAAATATTTCACATTCTAGATCAAATTTTAAAAATCCCACCCAGGAAATTAAAGAAAAAAGCATGCTATATCATTTGTTAGTTTGGGAGTACAAAGTTTAATATCGGATTAGATGGAGGGCATAGAACAAAGTGTTATTTTTCCCCTTTTTTTGTTTATATGTTTCGAATTTCAGGCATTCTGATTGGTCAAAGATGCAAAAAGTAAACAAACATGCTAATTGGCTAATTAACAATTAGACAACAAGGCCGAGTTGTCTATGAGCGAATAGTCAACGAGGCGAAGCCGAGTTGACTATTTGCTCATAGACAACGAGGCCGAGTTGTCTAATTGTTTTAGTATAAACTTTAACACTAATTTACAACTAGGCTGCAAACAGAATACAAAAATACACAAAAAAACATTATAAAACCATTAAAGGTAAACAAATATTTTAGTTTTTGTTCACGTAAAATGTTTTACAAAATTCAGTTTTAATTTTAAAATTTCATTGAGTGTATGTTATTTTGTCTATTTTCTTACCCTTAAAAATTGCCATACCATATTTTTGTTGCTTTTTTCGAGGGTTTTTAGTACAGAAATGTTCAACAAGTCGTCCAAAAAATCATCAGACACTTCGGCAAACGTGCAAAACGCGAATTTTCCGCCATTTTGAATTTTCTATTAGTAGGCTATCACTAATAGCCTACTAGTAGCGTAACCAATCAGAAGGCGCGAAATGTGATAGCCTACTAGTAGGTTTATACTAACATTATTTAGTACGCTTATTACTTAGGGGGTGTTTATATGGAGGCAAGCCAGCCTGAGTTACCTGAGCTAGCTCGCCTTGCCGAGATCTAATGTCGCTATGTAATTCATAGTAACATTCATCTTGTGTTTATATGGGAACTCGTTTTGTGAAGTTAGGATCTCACCTAGGCAGGCTGGAAATTTCCCATATAAATGCAACTGCCCAGGCTGGCTCACCCAAGCAGGCTGAATGTTATTACGGACTGTTCATGCGGGCCAACATGCGCCAGGGTGCATTTTAAGTGGCCTACGCTGAAGATCTTCGGCGTGAGTTTGGCAAATTACAATACTATCTATAGTTAATATTGGCGTATCTTCGGCGTAGAGTTTACATGGAATGCACCCTGGAACATGGGAAAATATAAAATATGAGGATTTGGGGCATCTACACTCAACGGTATTAGAATGCCTTTTTCACAACGAATATAGACCCATACATAAACAAACTATTTTAATAAATGTTTAAATAGTGTAATTTTGTGGTATCCTAAGGGCCTAATTAAATAAATACCTGTAATTTTGTGACCAAGAACAGCAATTTTAAAAAAAGATCGCAAAATGCAAATATCATATGTGCAATTGTGTCAACAACAAATGATCAATTACCGCTATCAAATATTCCAGCGTAAATGTGTGGATAATGTCGAATAAACTTTGCTGGGTTTCCATATGGATAATATGCAATGCTTTTTCACACACACTAAATTCAGTTTTGTCCTCATTTCGCTTTTCATAGTGGATTCAAAGCTGACCCCCCTCCTCCCATCGCAGAACAAGTCTACGATCAGTGTACAAAATCTGTTTGTTGACGGACCCTTAGGGCCTATGTCCAAATTACAACACAAAACATCAAATTCAAATTTTTATCTAAACACCCACCAAGCATATTTGTAACATCAGGCTCGATTTCTTTAAAATATTCATTTTGCCACCCAGTAAAATTTGTGAAAAAATTACAGACTAATAGTTTTGACACACCACAGACACGCAAAACGTTGACATGGGGACCCTTTACATAATATAAAGTAGTAAAGTACGATGATAATATTATTTATAATAAGTATCCTACCTGCATGTAAAAATTTCTTGTTGCAAACATCACATTTATGAGTTTTCTCCCTTGGTTGAATTGCTTCAGTCGCTTGTGCTGTTTCCACGTCTTGTCCTTCGGTAGAAACAACACCAGCATCGTTAGTGGTTGCAGAAGTGTTATCAGCACTTTGAAAAGTAACTTCAGCTTCGACATGTTCAGTTTGTTGCTCGGGTTGCTCTGCACAATGTAACGTGCTTTGTCCTTGACCTTGGACGTCGCTAGCGTTATTTATAACGACAAATTCAAAATTAGTCTGGCCTTCGTTGACTTCAGATTGTTGCTGATTCTGTACAGCACAACTTAACGCTTCGATAATGATATTATATTCCACTGGAATTTCTTCCATACTTTAAAAATTTTCCTTGAAACGAACAAGGAAACCAAGGAATATCAAAATGGCGGCAAAAGCTTTTATAACGAGGTTTGTTGAAGTTAGTACTTTATGATATACACACTGAACTTACCCTTCCCAAAAGCCATTGCGCTAATCGCTTTATAAGTACTTCGTCTTCATGTTTGCCATTAAAGGAAATGGCAATATATTTTTTTATTTTCTCGTCAGTGGCGTGCTGGGTACTATTTTTCTGGGGGGGGGGGGGCAGTTGGCTGTCAACCAATCTGCGCCCCTATAATGTTACGCTTGATAAACGAGGGCCGAAGGCACGAGCCCAGCGCCGCAGGTGCGAGGTTTGTCTAGGGGGGTCCGGGGGCATGCCCCCCAGGAAAATTTTTGAATTTAGAATCTCTGAAATGCCATTTCCTGGACTTTGGGGGAAGATTTGACAGAAATCTGATGGTCAGGAAACGGCATTATAACGTGTCGAAATTTGCAATTTGGTTAGAATTTTGTAGTAGTACTTAAATTGGGCAATGCTAACTACTTCCAGCTATTAATCTAACCCCAATTCTATTCTCTACTGATCTAGTGATCTGAATACATTTACAACTTACATCTCTTTTATATAACAACACCAGGACCCCACGCATTTTAAGGTTTCCTTGCCTGGCTGCCAAAAGGGCGCGTTTCAGCATTATTTCATTACTTACATTACTCATGATGTTTCTTGCGCAAACAACTAAATTGCGTACACAACTTTACATTATCATAACTTCAATTATCTAATTTGCGCCGCTCTCGTGGTTCGTGAAGCATAATAAAGGGCGTAATATAAGGGCATAATGCCAGGAAAAAAGGGCATAATTCCCGTGATCGCTTCGAAACCTGACCAATATTCCGGTAATGAGACATTGCGTGTGATCACTGATCATGTTTCGATATGAACGATTTCGTGTGAGCCGTGAGGTAGCAAATTAGCAAATACGGTTAGACAAAATAGTCTATAATTAAATATATCACTTTGTCGCCTATATTCTTAGTCTGTTTATAAGCCTATAAACACATCTCTTCAGTTTCTTGGCGGAAGTAACTATATTCTTTCGAATTTTGCGTTTTTTTCCATCCACTTTCAAAATTCAGGGCTGGATCGGCGCCCCCTTTTCATTTTTGCGCCCCCCAAGAATTGCCAGCTGGGGGCCCCTGCCAGCACGCCACTGTTTCTCGTTTGAAAGAACATTTAAAACCATATCTAAAACTCTTTACCGTTTTTTCTTATCTTGCTTACTTCCACAAATATTTTAATCGAAAGAAATGAAATGTCTGCCATCTTGGATTTTTGTGGATATGCATATGTTACGTCACAAGAGGGTCTTAATGGGGGTCTATGGGTGTCAGTTGTCAGCTAAAATTTAAGCCATTTGTCAGTTGTCAGTGCGATATATTGCAAGTTGTCAGTAGTCAGTTACTGCAAAATGCTGACTCATCATTTTTTCCATCATTTCTCAGTTGTCAGTTAGGATATTTTGTCAGTTGTCAGTCAAAAATTTAGGCAAATGTCACTAGTCAGTTAACCCCATTCAGACCTTCTCACAACATGGGTCACGCAATATTTTTATCTAGACAACCACTAATCATTTTGCACTCAAAATTGTACTCTGTCTGCCCTTCCAAATACCAAGATCACTTGAAACTTTTAAAACATCTACCAATCAATATTTGGTCAGCAACGAATACTTTTATATGGTTAATCCCTGTTGTGACGTCACCAAAACTACCGTTAATGAGATCTAAATTTTATCCAAGCTACATGGCTGACAACTCATTACTCCAAGAGAAAATATTTCAAGAACTAAGCAAGATATGAAGAATCGGTAAAAGAAGTTATTAAATAGTTTCAAAAGTTCTTTCAAATGAGAAGATAAAAAAATATATTGCCATTTCTCTTTAATATCACAAAAAAAACCCAACCTGAAGCAAGGGTTATTAGGACTATTATACGGAGCTGTATTAGTGCCATGGAAATATTGCGCTTGAATTTCATATTTAATTTCTTGACTTTTTTCTCGCGTGTGAAATTTTTTCTCGCGTCAAACATTTTTTCTCGCGTCTGAAATTTTTTCTCGCGTCTGAAATTTTTTCTCGCGTCTGAAATCATGGGCGTACCGGAAGGAAAAATTTAGGGGGGCGGAAAGAAATTTGCCCGACTTTTCCGGATTTTGCCCGACAAGTATCGAAAAAAATTTTCCGGACTTACCAAAATTTTCCGGAACCTACCAAAAATTTTGGACTGTTCAGCGAATATTGCCCGACTGCCCAACAAACTGGGGGGGCCGCCCGCCCGGTACGCCCATGGCAATCTGGCTTCCAGGGGGCACCCTGAACTGAGTTGTCCGGCGGCCTTGTTTATATAATTTCCGTTTCGTAAAGCTATTAAGAATTTTTGCCGGATTCAGATTTTCTGTATCACAGTTGGTATATAACGCGACTCCAGAAGTTGAAGCGAAACTAAGACAAAGTACAAATGCACAGTGGAAAAATGGAATGTCTTCGGAGCCAGTGGCAGTGAAGAAGTACACGACGTGTTTCGACAAACAGAACTGACAAACAACTGATCTTGTGTTCATGTGATTTCTTGAGAATGGCCTCCACTTGCTAGGATATTTCCAATTTAGAAGGAAATTGTAAGGGACCGGTCATAAAGCCCTTGCATAAAAATTGATGGCCCACCCTGCGTTGAAAATTCGCTTCAAGACAAACTCTTTACTTCCTTCGTGTTCTTTCTCGTTCCACTATAGTGTGTACTACATGACATAGCCAACAAGTAGTACACACTTTAGTGGTGAAAATTCATGGATAACCATTCATAACTGCTGTGCGGCAGCGAGCGAGCATGAAGCGAGCGAAGCAGCATGCTAATATATGCAGAGAGGTGGTTTTGAAGTAATATGGGGCCACTGTAATTGGCATAGCTGTTGTGGTTTCCCAGGGGACGTGCGGGGACGTGCGACATACAGTATTTGAGGCGTATTTGAAAGATATCGTTTTGCTTGCTTCGACTTGTAAATTATTTTGACTCAGGCACTCAACGTAAGGTTTATTAAAGTTTTAGGCCCTGCAAAGGCCATAATTTAGTGCATAAAATAACGTGACTGCACTTTGTGCCTAATTGTAATTCACTCAATGGACTTCAGCCACTGAACACTGTTAGTTCTATATTATTATAAAGTTTTGGTTTCTTAGTTTAATTTAATTACTGTGTATATAATGTGGTAAATGCGCCTAGCAGTATTAGACTTAATATGAAATCCAATAGCAAAAACTTGTGTTATATAATTTACCTGTACGTCTTAAGAATGCTTTGTCATTAGTATTTATACGCGTACTAAAGCAGCGCGTAATTCAACAGATTCCACAGTTCCACTTGGTCTTGTAAATATTATATACTCTTGCTTATGTTTTAGTGAATGTTACTTCCATAAACATTAACACGCAAGTATTCAATGAGACGCACATGTTTAATTTTTCAGTTTTTTAGTTATTATTATAGCCTAATTATTTTTTTATAATAAAAATGGCGCTTGCCATTTCATTTGCCTGGCGAGATCATGGCGCTTGTCATGATCTCAATAGAGGCAGACGAAGCAAGAAAGCTTTCCGTTGACAAAATGATCGATGAGTTTGCTGAAAAAAAGACCAGTTGCGAGAAATTTAAGATGTATTGTAATGTTACATTTAATTCAGGATGTATGTGCATAATTACAGTGGCACACACTTCACTCTTTATGTCAAAAACAATTTCCGCATAGTGCTATTTTATAGTTGTTTTCTTTATATTTTGCCATATATTTATATTTCCAGTTTAAAAACCCATTAAAATTGGCTTCTAAACGACTAGAAAAATGTTCATGTTGTCAGAGCTCCATCTTCAAAATATCTATGATCCCCCGCCTTGGGGGCACCCAATCCCGGTAGTACCAGGGGCAGCCTGGTCCAAACTTAGGCCCCGTTTACATGAGACCGGGATGAAGTCAAACCGGAATGAAAATTGAAATTGTCAACATGTTTAGGGAAGCCTCACATATCGATTTTTTTCCACGAGAAACGTCATATATTCGTTTGGGGGTGGGGGTTGTCAGCTGTGACGTTTCTCTGTAAACATCATGGAAAAATTCGATAGTTTTTATCTGTGCAGAATATAAAAAAGAAAACAATTTGATACAAACAGCAGTCTATATATTCGTAATACCATATACCTGTTCTATACCTGTACATTTATATTATTACGCCTTCCTTACATTGAAAACACTCAAATTTCAAGAAAATATTTCATGCAAAAAAGGTTGTTTTGAGAAACGTTGGAAATTTTGAAGTTCATATATATATATATATATATATTAATAAAAAAAGAGTATGTCAGCAGAAGATGACATATTCCTCGCGGAAGCATCGCCAATAGCCGACCGAAAAAAAATAGTAGAAAATTACCTTTAATATGTGTACTCATAGTGTACTGTAAGAACAAAATATCGATAACTATGTGTGACGTTTCTAAGGGGGGTGGGGGGTGGCTCTCCAGGGAAACGAACATATGACGTTTCTCATGGACAAAATCGATATGTGAGGTTTCCCTTACATGAGACCGGTACCATGGGCGTATCGGAAGGAAAAAATTAAAGAGGCGGAAAGAAATTTGCCCGACTTTTCGGATTGTGCCCGACTAGTACGGAAAAATTATTTTGGCGACCTTCCCCCCCCCCCCGTCGCCAAAAAATTTTCCGTCAGTGTACCATTTTAGGGGTCAAAAAATTTTCCGGACATACCCAATTTTTTCCGAACATCACCCAATTTTTCCAAACAACACAAAATTTACCACAAAATTGACTGAATTTCCGACAAAATTGACAGAATTTGTCCCATTTATTTTTATAACAAACCAAAATTGCCCGACTGCTGATCGAATATTGCCCGACTGCCCAACAAACTGGGGGGGTGGGGCTACCGCCACTTTCCCCCGCCCGGTACGCCTATGACCGGTACGAAAATCACAAAATTTTCAATTTATTTTCCTTGCCAGGCAATTTTCGTTTTCAGATGGCTTTTGGTAGCATGTGTTGTTCCTATGTCAATGTTACAGCCGAGATCAGTCTGAAATGTATTTGTGTTTACATTCATCCCGGTCTGAATTCATGCCGGTCTGAAGTCAGTCGGTTCGGTTCAGCAGGCGGAATGACTTGAGACCGGTCTGAGTTATTTTCGTCCCAGTCTCAAGTAAACATTTATTATAGATAATACTGTGACCGAAACGAAATGGTCACGGTTTGACTTCGTTCCGGTCTCATGTAAACGGGGCCTTACGCCACTGTAGGCATACCTTTCGCCGAACACAACTTCGGCTCCTTGGGACGCATCCTCTTTGTATTAGTCTTGTTCGAAAGAGAATGCAAAACACTATTTAGAGTGTTATTTTTGAGCTTGTATCTTGAAAACTGCATCTTTTATTATGGTATTTCCATTTCTGCTCTGATTGTGAACTAATTCCCGAACTTCATGCGGCGTGTGACAGGGGCGTGCGACTGTGCGAGTAAAAACCCGATATTTTGAAAAATTAAAAATAAATATTTCTACTGGCCATATCAGTCTAACGAAATTTTCTACACGAAAGCTCTTGAATACAAGGAGTGTTTTACTTCTTTGACTTGTGGCGAATTCCGAAGAGTTCAAGCGATATTCAAGTTTTTCTCGATACGAAATACAGAATGTTTGGCCACGCGGTGAGTAAAATATAGGATTGTTTTGCTTTGTGTAATATTAAAAAATGTTATTGCTTTTGACCATCCACAAAGATGCAAGCACTAGTCAATGAAGTTAATCAATCATGCATTAAATTATGTTTTTATTTTCAAAAAGGCGTATGTTATTTAGCTTAAAAATCACCTTTTGTTTCATGTTTACACATTGTCCCACTTTGCGATGCAAATCGTGCAGAGGCTTCGCGCCTTCCCTCGCCTTTTTCCTTTTCCGCCTGCGTTCCTTCGCCCAGCGGCTACGCTTGTGTTCCAAGATCCGCCATGTAGAGTGTAGTGAAATGTATCTCATCGTAATACTAGTATTAGTCCTAAGAAAACTAAAGCCTCTGCGGAAGAGAGAGGCCATATTACGCTTCTATAGCCATGCATAATTTAATATACGTTTCCTACAAACTATCTTAGGAAATGTCTATTCCGCTATTTTGGGGGGGATTCAAGAGAACGTTTTTAAATTGAAAAGAACGATTTATAATAGACTATTAAGGTTAGGAAAAACATGAATAAATTCAAATAATTGCATTTGTTTGATTTATTTCATTCGTGGAATACGGTACATTTAAAAATTGAGTATAACTGTAATATAGTATAGTTATAGTTTTATTTAATCATTCACAGCTAACAAGACTCTATATAGCTCATTATTACTAAAAGCGGCAGTTTAATTTCCATAATCATCATCAAGGCACTGCATGGTGAAACGTTCTGTAAATTCAACAATTAAAATATGTATTAGTTCTATACAATTATGCAAAATTATCATATATAATTTTATTCAAGCAAAGGCGCCATTATTTTAGTATGCAAACTACCTTGGTACACTGTGGGCCACATATATAGCTTTAATGGATTGGATATGATAGTAAAATTCTATATATTTTTTTACCTGGGTTTGGAAGCGTTCGACTATCCCAACAACTTCTGCAACAAGTTTTCAATGTTGGTTAACTTTTTGTCAGTTAGTTTATCATGCTCCTCAAGTTCTTTGAGAATTTTATCATGTTCAACCGAAACTAGAGAAGTTAATTAAATTGAATATTAAATTGATTAGATTATCAGTAAGATGCTGTTATACTCATTTCGTTATGCTATATGCACGTAATAAGTGCTTTTGTGCAGTTCGAATCACGAAAAATAACATTTCAGCCAAATCTAAAGTACAGAATGGACATGTACCACTCGTTGTAAATGTTTTTAGTTTTCCCTTTCTATATATCCTGTCAAAAAAGAGGAATAACTGAGAATTTGTGAATATTGTCGAGAATTATGCATAGTTTGTTAAAGGACACTATAGTTAATCTTATACGACTTTTAAGCGTAGTATTTGCTTGCGCATGCGCGTTAGTGCTCGCCTACGAACACGTTTTAGATTCGTAACATTCATATAAAACGACCGTTTTGGACCATTGTTTTGGGACTTTATGTTAGTTATGTCATGTATTAAGATGTCAAATATATTCATATAAACAATCCACATTTTGGTGCCGTGACCAGTTGTATTATCGAAGAATTACAAAGTCTTCGAGCGTCCCGAAAAGCTTATCGAGCACACCTCACAACACTTTACAAGAAGATTATAGAATTGAAATCCGCCACGACTATCGATGAACTTCACATTGCCACGCTCGAAAACTACTGTCAGCAACTCAAAAGAAAGAAAGACATCTTATCATCACTCGATGAACAAATTGCGAAAGCTATCACCAAACCCGAAAACCTTGAAAGTGAGATTTTTGAAACGGAAGAAATGCACAGCACAATCAACGAAAGGTACAGTGAACTTACCACATTTATTGAGATAAAACGTAACGAATCATGTAAAGCTTAAAGTTACTGAACAATCATCCAATAACACTAATGAGTCATCCCCAGAAACCTCACCCCAATCAGAACAGTCTATTCAACAGGAAAATATCCATCAACCAGAAATGAGTCAAAGCCCAGTTGGACCCAATTTCCAAACAGAGGAAACCCCAGCTTCCAACAACACTATTCAAAATCAAACACTGATTAATAACAATAACAATGGTGCCAGTGCCAGTGGTTCTTATCCATCAGTTAGTCGATTGCCAAAGTTATCCCTACCCACATTTTCTGGGGACCCCATTGCCTGGCAAAACTTCTGGGACTCGTTTAAGACAACCATCCATTTAAACCACACACTGCATGATGTTCAAAAATTCAACTATCTAAAGGCTCAACTACAGGTGATGCAGCTAGAGTTATAGCAGGTTTCCCTATCACAAGTGCCAACTACAAACATTCAATTGATCTCCTAACTGAGCGTTTTGGTCAACAACAAAAGGTTGTCAATGCACACATGCAACGTTTGCTTGACCTACCCAAACCCGACAGGGCTCATAAGTCTTCAGCTTTTCTACGACACAATAGAGAACCACATCCGAGGCCTTGCCTCACTTGGCCAGTCAAAAGATTCCTATGGGGCCCTTCTTATACCAATAATTTTGGGGAAATTACCAGCTGAAGTTAGGCGAAACCTAGCCCGAATACATCACACCTTAGAATGGTCAATTGACCAACTGCGAGATGCCCTCCTTAAAGAAATCAAGATCCTTGAAGCTGGTCTGCACATAGACAAAACTAAATCAGAGCTTAATCCTGCCCACACTGCTACAGCTGCATTTCATACTGGTTCGGGGGGGGGGGGCAACAATACTCAGAAAAGAAATCAAGGTTACAAGATCCCACACTGTGAATACTGTAAGGGTACACATTCCTCACTTCGGTGCGAAGTAGTGACTGATCCAGAAAAACGATTGACGATTATTAATCGATCCAAATATCGTTGCAGAACATGTACACACAAACATCACACCAGCTTGTGCAAACCTCAGAAACCACCCATCAAAGATCCCCCAGAACGGGCAAACGAGGAACAAGGGGAAAAACCTGTCCACACCACACTAATCCCTGCGGCCCCAACATCAATCGTAAACACTCAAGGAAACGAAACTACTATTTGTTTACTGAAAACCGCTAGTAGTACTGTCTCCTTAGCTAACCAAAGAGCTGTTGCAAACATCTTGTTTGACGAGGGAGCCCAGTGCTCTTTTATTACCCATGAATTAGCCGACAAGCTTCACGCATGTCCCCAACAAACTAAAAATATCCAGATTTCAACATTTGGGGGAGAACAACCAACCAGTCACACATTAGAAACCGTTACCATCAACATCGAAAGCATCACAGATGAGAAAATACCAGTTAGTGTTTTGGTCGTTCCAAAGATTGCCACACCTTTGCAAAATCGTATTCGCACCAACGTCCGGACTCTCCCATACCTAAAGGGGACCCCACTCGCCCAACCAATCACCTCAGACGAGAAATTTGAAGTCTCGCTCTTGATTGGAGCAGATCACTACTGGGAAATAGTCCAAGACCATATTATCAGAGGAGCTGGTCCAACAGCTATGGAGTCTAAACTTGGATATCTGCTATCGGGACCCTTACCCCTGGGAGAAGCCCCATCAAACACTACCATGTTAAATGTCATTACCATGCCTCATCATCAAGTAGAGAGCATGGACCCTAATCGGTTTTGGGATCCACCACCCTTAGATTTGTTAATGACCCCCACAGAAACCAACAATCAGACTGCGATTGGGAACTTCAAGGAAACTAACATCACTCGCTCTCCTTGGCACTTATTGTGCAAGATTTCCATGGAGGACTGAGCATCGCCCACTACCATCCAACTACGCTGTATGTGCGAAGAGAACACGACTTCTAGCTCGTCGCCTTGGACAGGACCCCAAACTCTTGAAGACCTATAGCGACATCATTGCAGAACAAGAAGAGAAAGCATTCATTGAAAAAGTGTGTACGACCAACATGTCAGATAAGATCCACTACATCACCCACCACCCTGTAAAAAAGTACTCTACCACCACATCTATTCAAATTGTATGTGACTGTAGCTGCCGCCAGTCAACAGACCACCCAAGTTTGAATGATTGTCTTCTGCCAGGTCCACCATCGCTAAATGATATGTGTTCAACTCTTCTGCGCTTTGAAACCCACCCATTTGCATTTTCCACCGATATAGAGAAGGCATTTCTACATGTTCAACTCCACGAAGATGACAGAGACTGTACCCGATTCCTGTGGCTTTCCCAACCTGATGATCCCGAAAGCGTGTTTCAAGCCTACCGATTCAAAGTTGTGTTGTTTGGTGCTACATGCTCACCATTAATGCTCAGCTCAGCACTCGAATCCCACCTCGACCAATACAGTTCAAAGATTGCTACCGATATGAAAGAAAACCTATGTGTTGATAATCTCATTTCCGGACAGCCCACAGAAAATTATGTCACCCACTATTACACGTCGGCGCGATCCATTATGTCCTCTGGTAACTTCAACCTTCGAGCTTGGGCATCCAACAGTCCACAACTTAAGAGCCTCTGTCTACAAAAAGGAACTGCTGATACTAAAACTACTGTTAATGTTCTCGGCCTCCAGTGGAATACGTTGACAGACACTTTGTCCCTCACCCCTAAACACATCTCCCCATCCCTCAACTTACCGACCAAAAGAGAAGTCCTCAGCAATTCCTCGAAGATCTATGACCCACAGGGCCTGTTATCCCCAGTTACTATTAGAGCTAAGTTACTCATGCAAGAATTGTGGCTACAAAATATCGAATGGGACGAACCACTTTCACAAGAACTGAGCGAGAAGTGGTTAAACATAGCCGAAGATATCGACATTGTTTCAGAGACCATGAACGTTCCGAGATGCCCCATCACAATCAATCCTAACAATACCAAATCTGAGCTCTATGTCTTCTCGGATGCAAGTATAAAGGCCTATGGCGCCGTTGCTTATCTCCGTCACGGTCCGCAAATCGCAATTCTTGTGGCTAGAACACGTACGTGTTGCACCCCTGAAGAAACTAACCCTACCTAGACTCGAGCTTATGGGTGCTGTCACCGCCGCACAGTTGGCCAGCTATGTCAAGAACGCACTTGCTACAACTACCATGTACAGTGAACTCACTGTGAGGCTTTGGACGGACAGTCAAATAGTCTTACATTGGTTGTCCAGCAACAAACGTCTAAGCCAGTTTATCACGAACAGTGTTCAAACAATCACAGATCTAGTTCCCAAGGCAACATGGGGATATTGTCCAACCAACAATAATCCGGCGGATCTACTTACGAGAGGCTTAAGTGTAACCCAACTTTGTTCTTCAGTCCTTTGGAAACAGGGCCCACCTTGGTTAACGTGCGAGTCCAAGTGGCCGACGTGGTCCTCAACCGACTTATCCCCCACTCTGACACTAGCAATTTCATCAGAAGAAATCAACCACAACGCACCCGAAAGAGACAGCATTTCCACGGAACATCGCCAACCCGGAATACACCGCATCGTTGACATCGAAAAGTACAGCAAACTAAATCACCTACTACGAGTTACAACCTACGTCCTGCGATTCATTGCTCTCCTACGAAAAAAAAGTGACACTTATGGACCCCTCACCGCGAAAGAATTGAACCTCGCCGAGTGGATATGGACACATTCCTGTCAAAGTACTACATTCTCCGAAGAAATCGAGAACCTGTCTTCCAAATCATCCCGAATATTACCACTCATACGACAACTGCGTCTTTTCCTCGACACCGACAATTTGCTTCGTTGTGGCGGGAGGATTCACAACGCGCCATTAAGCACGTCAGCGAAGTTTCCATACCTCCTACCTAAGAACCATCCTTTCACAGATCTTGTCGTATACAACGCCCATGAAAACATACTCCACAGTGGTGTGAACTCCACAATGACCACATTACGTCAGACCAATTGGATCCCATCCATCCGCTAGTACGTGAGAAAATTGTTGAGACGGTGCGTAAATTGTCGTATGATCACTGGTACTGCTATACACGCCCCGATCCACCTCCACTTCTCAAGTCGAGAACAACCGAGACAGAACCCTTTACGACAACCGGCGTTGACTTCACCGGAGCCCTTTACGTACGTGATAACAATGGCGAAACGAAGGTGTACATCTGCCTCTTCACATGTGCTGTAACCAGAGCTGTACATTTAGAGATTGTGACAGATCTATCCACTGAGTGTTTTCTGAACGCATTTAGGAGATTTGCAAGTCGCAAATCGTTGCCACAAAGGATGATCTCGGATAACGCATCAACTTACTTATCGGCTGCAGACGAACTTAGAGCTCTCTTCAATTCACAAGCACTGCACGACTCTCTCGGCAAACGAGAAGTAGAATGGCAATTCATTCCGAAAAGGGCGCCTTGGTTTGGAGGATTCTGGGAGCACTTGATTGTTCCAACCAAAACCACCTTGAAGAAGATTCTTGGACGCGCATATATAAACCTAGAGGGTCTACAAACGATCATAGTCGAGATCGAAGCTGTCCTCAATAACCGCCCTATAACCTATGTCACATCCGAAGCCGACGATCCAGAACCCTTGACACCTTCCCACCTTCTCTACGGACGACGCGTCAGAAGATTACCTCGCCTAATCGTTGAAGAAGAGGAACTACACGATCCCAATTTCGACGACGATTCCGAAGTTCGAGAGAGAGCCAGGAAACAATCGATAATAATACAATCCTTTTGGATGCGATGGAAGCACGAGTATTTCACCTCACTTCGTGAATTCCACAAAACAACAGGGACAAACGAACAGAAAGTCAAGCAAGGTGACGTTGTATTAGTTCACGATAACGGTCTCAGAGCCAACTGGAGACTTGCCGTAATTGAGAACCTCGTTAGTGGAAACGATGGACTGATTCGATCTGCCGATATTCGTACTAGCACTGGTAGAACCAACCGACCTATTGCTCGTCTCTACCCTCCCAAAGTTTCAACCAAACAGGAAGCAAAACCCATCCTATCATCAGAGAAACCACCACCAGCCTCGGAACCCCCACATCGCCCGAGGAGAGAGGCTGCTGTAAGAGGACGCGAACGAATTGCACGTTGGACACAGAAACTTTCCCTCCCCCCGGAGGATGTCGAGAATTATGCATAGTTTGTTAAAGGACACTATAGTTAATCGTATACGACTTTTAAGCGTAGTATTTGCTTGCGCATGCGCGTTAGTGCTCGCCTACGAACATGTTTTAGATTCGTAACATTCATATAAAACGACCGTTTTGGACCATAGTTTTGGGACTTTATATTAGTTATGCAATGTATTAAAATGTCGAATATATTCATATAAACAATCCACAAATATCTATATTTCGTATATTTGTGCATGGTCCTTAACAACTGTGTATTTTGTCACTAAAGAAGTCATTTGAGCAATATTTTGAGTGTATTATACCATAGGCTATCGATGGGAAGATGGTTGTGAAACTCATTAGAATAACAATATAACTCATTGTCTCTGTTAGTTAACGTTTATTCATAAATGGCGATTACTATTGGCGGATTTGGCAAAATACAATTCACAAGTGACGCTGCAGAAGGACCAGATTTATAAATAAACGTTGACTAACATAGATAGTGAGTTATATTGTTATATGCCTACTTTGGGGGCCAAGGTCGCCTAATAATGTCATCTAATGTCGCCTAATTTCGCCTAATGTTGTCCATGTGCACCCAATTTGTGAACTTTGCCTAACAGTCTATTCGCTTAATGTCGCCTAATTTCGCCTAATGTCGCCCAGTTTCGCCCAGCGACGCATACTACTTTTCTTTGAAAATTGTCATTGTCGCCTAATGTCGCACAATGTTGCACATAATAACGGCCTCCATACCCTTCGATAGGCTACGATTATACCAACAAGCGTTTCAAAACTTCGTTATTACACAAAATGCACAATATATTAACTCACTGCACATGTTCGAATCCGGAGCTCTTTGATTGACAGTCATTCTGAGGAAACAATTTTACCGAAAAGATCAAGTTTTATTATATTTATTATTAGAATGACAAAATTACTGGATACTGATTGGTTGAGAGGAGTACAATTATTTCATTAATGTACTGCAGTACAATTAATGATTTTCCCAAAACAAACAAAATGGCGGAAAGGTTTTTTAACACAAATGTGAAATGAAATTGCCCTTGAGAAACTAGGTGAAAATACAAACAAAAGCACACCAAATTTTGCTTTGACAAAAGAAGTAAATGAAAATACGAACAAAAGTACCAAACTTTGGTTGAAAGTCTGGCAGGACTGGGCTTTGGCGAGAGAATATGATGTTGACGGAGAAGTATACAATTTTGTCATATGCTAATAACAATTAGGGATTAATAGTCCGAGTGATAATTGTTTTTGTTTGTGGAAACACCACGTAAATTTATTACTGCAAAGTTTTCGATCCGTAAGCCCGGATCTTTGCAGTAATAAATTTACGTGGTGTTTCCACAAACAAAAACAATTATATTTTATCGCCATGCAAACATTCAAAGAACTTAGTACAAGTGATGTTTGCTAATCCCTAATTGTACTCGCCATCGCATGATTACCTATAAATATGTACCTTTGGTGCACTTCTTTCCATCTCCATGGTAACCAACATGACATGTACAGCTGTATGATCCAAAGGTGTTTTCGCAATTTGCAAGAGCGTTACAGCTATTGACACCACTTGAGCACTCGTCAATATCTAAAACAACAGACTTAGTTTTATGAGTTGGATGGAGACTTATTATAGTCCGTGTGTTGTGACCCGATATCGTTCACTTTCATTAAGCATGTCTTAGATCTAAAATATTTTTACGGGAACTAATACTTTCAAGCACGCTGAGTTCAAACCCGAAAAGTTCCCGCTCCATAGACTCGCAGTTTTCTCACAAAATGCTATTTTATCTTGCATTGACGATACACGATTATGTCACTCAAAAGGACCAATTTCTATTAATTAACCAGTTTTCCTTTTAACAAAAGACCGGTTTTGCTTGAATCATTTTGAGTTATGTAATCTTATGCGTGTTGGACGTAAGCAACATATCTCGGCTACAACTTTGAGAAGGTACAGATAACGCTTCATTCTAAAATCCTCATTTCTATAGATATCTCTATAAAATCCAATCTCGTTCCCCGAGCCTGCGATCCTCTGGAAGGAACGCGAGGCTCTGCGATAATCTGTTTCAGGGAGGAATCTGATTAGCCGTTGAAATGGAATGCGTAGTTCAATCTTAGCCAGGATTCCTGGCTTCCGGCAACAAATTATCCCAGAGCCTCGCGTTCCTTCCCGAGGATCGCGGGCTCGGGGGACAAGATTGTATAAAATCACAACGACATTAATGCGAAGTCTTTTGGGTATGTCACTGGCCTGAAAATAAACTCTTTTAACGCGATCAAGGTATTTAAAACAAAAGTAACGCGAAGCCAACGTTACGGCAAAGATTACGCTAAAATGAAATATTGTCGATTGGTTGCTGGCAGAACACTTACGACAGGATCAATCTTAAATAACCTTAAACTAGAAGAACAAATGTTCACATCAAAGACAAAGAGCAGTCCCAAAGTACAGTGTATAAAATATTCTTCAAATATGAGCTGTTTATTTGGTGATTTCAACGTTTCCAATAATATTCACTTATCGCACAGTATAACACCAACTGATGTAATAGTTCAAATGCAATGATAAGTTAACGTTATCTCTTGAATTACGTCTCGGAAACTTTGTTGGAAATTTAAATGCAGATCCATTACATATAGATTACCGCTTTACATCTTTGTATAAAACATTTTGATCGCATGATCATCAAACGGCATATAAGGAATTGTTTCTCAACCCAGAAACATAGCCCAAAGACTCAACATTAACGTCCTTCTGATTTTATAGAGAGAGATCCTGAACTATAACGATATTAGAAGGAATGATCTATACCTTCTCAAAGTTGTAGACAAGATATGTTGTTTACGTCCAACACGCATAAGATTGCATAACTCAAAATGATTCGAGCAAAAAAGGTCTTTTGTTAAAAGGAAGACTGGTTAATAGAAATTGGTTCTTTTGAGTGAAAAATCGTGTATCGTCATCGATCCGTGTCGTTGAACAATGAAAAATTTTGCTGTGAAATTAGTGAAGATAAAATAACAGTTTGTGAGAAAACTGCGGGTCTACGGAGTGAGAACTTTTCGGATTTGAACTCAACGTGTTCGAAAGTGTTAGTTCCCTTAAAAATATTTCAGATCTAAGACATGCTTAATGAAAATCGTTTTCTAGGCACTTTTTCAGGTCACAACACACAGACTATAAGCAGTGTTTACACTAGAGACTTATACCATTATAACGACTGCATTGACGACAGCGAAATAACAAACATTTCTTTCAAGTTGTATTTTTGCAAGATTTTGTAAAATTCAAAACCTTTCCGAGAGCCAAAAAAGTCTAAAAACTTCTAAAAGAATGGAGCAAAGTCGCAAACTTTAATAAAGGTGTGTCTATGATGTATTGTTTTTTATAATTGATGTATTTATATCTGATAGTGGTGGGCGATACTACGAATATCGAACTGATATACTATCGTTGCGCTCGTCGTTGCGTATATAAGTGAAAAAAGACAGCATATATATAATTTCAGTGTAGTTTTATTAATTACCCTTTCAATTTTGTATATTAAGGTGTATATGACATGAAATTTCTTATTTTCTTAAATGAAAGAACTCTTTAAGTTGTAGTGTAACTTATTTTTCAGTTTCTTGTTTTTATGGTTTGTTCCTGAGATATTTCAATTTGTTTGATATGTAAATGAATGTGAATATGTCCGCTAATTTATGACGTCATGTTGGTTGCAAGCTCAAATTACACTGGTTATAAATGTATTAACTCTAAAAACTGTTGATATCAGTTCACGTTTTTCTCCAGTGTTTCATCACATTTACCAGTGAGCGACACATTTACCAGTGAGCGAAGTTTGAAATTATCATCTTGGATTATCAACTGTTGATATCATCTATCAACCATTTTTAACCAACATGACGTCATAAATTAGCGGACATATTCACACTCATTTACATATGAAACAAATTAAAATATCTAGGGAACAAATCATAAAAACAAGAAACTGAAAAATAAGTTGCACTACAGATTAAAGAGTTCATATACACTTTAAAATATTTAAATAAAGAGGAAAGCAAAGTTATTTAATTTTCATGCGAGAATTTGAAATCAGTTTGTTTCAAACTCAATCTTTACCGATATTAAAATTCGATAAAAGGCCGTTTAGTTCTAACTCTAAGACGATTTTAAAGCGTTTTGCGAAGCGTTTGTGGTTGGATTTTACATTAAATTGAATTATTGAAGCTTATATTACGTATAATAACATACCTAGCATATATATGTTTGGGAAATAAATCATTTTGTTATTAAAAGCGATATTTTGGGGGGATTTTTCAATTTTAAAACTATTCTTAAAATTATCGTGTTACCATGACAACTACTTTCAACTCTTCACATTCAGAAAACATAATGTTTCATCAGTAAGACGAGGGTTTCTGCATGTATGTATTTTCTAGTCAATAATCGCAGGCGCGTGGCTATGTTTCATCGTACGTCATACGTGTCAATCCTCACTGATCTCAAACATATGGCTGTTTGCCAGCTGAGTGGGATAAGCAAGATTTCAATTTTCAAAAACATATATTTAGTGGAAAATAGTTTCATACAATGGGCTTTGAAGCAATTTTGCTTTGAAGAAATAAGAAGAATTGATTTACCATGGGAAATCGTGAAATATAAGGCAATGTTTCCTCTTCAACTATTCAGCTGTAATTTTCCTAAATTATCCTGTTTAGTGTAAGAAAATTAAAATGTAAAGGACAGGAAATTAATTTCGAGAGTGAACTCGGGAATAATTACTCAACAATTTGAACTTATTTTGTTTTATTAAGTGAAAAATAGCTTATCACCAAATGCAATTTACTTGAATGAATATTTCAAAACATTTTACGAAGCGTTTCATTGTTTCAGATTAAATTTTACATTAAATGAAAGCTCACCTACAGTATATAATTTGGAAGTTCATTGTTGCATGGCTAAAATAACTAAACTTTCAACTATTTTTGCCATTTTATAAAGAATATAAAATTGTTTAAGAATTTAAAAATAATCGTGTTGCTATGGCAACACTTAGTTGACACTATTGCAATGAATATAACTGGAATGCAACCTCCAACCGGAAATCTGTAGTTCAGTCTTGAAGGCCGATCCCAGTTTTTTCACGCATGCGAAGAGCGTTCTATTGGTCAATCAAGATATCAATCAATTCGAGACACGCGTGCCTGGAGGTCAAATTTGGATTCAAGGAAACGATAGGCAGTTTACCTAAAGGTAGCGTTTGAGCTATTAATTTCAATGTTTGACACGCAACGCAAGGCTGTGTTCAGTGTTAGCCAATTACGAGGAAAACGGTCTTAATGGGAGGAAGGAAACAATGGCTTGCGAAATCGCTTAAACTCGTATACATGGCCGTAAGCTATTGTCAATTTTAGGCTTTTAACGCATTTTTTCTAGTAAAATTGGTATAGCCTTCAAGAATGACCAGTTTAAATTCGCAATAGAATGCCGTATTCTTCGGGGCATTTTTAGTCATTTACATACAGCAGTCCGTTGCATGTAACTGATCACACAGAGATTGTTACTTATGGGTAACCTAAAACTACATGCAAATACATTTATTTAATATTACAAATTATTATAGCAACAAATTCTGGCAAGGAATCTAGCTATAGACAAGGATAAGAACAACATATTAGTACCGTGCACTTAGCTTACGGTATTCATCGGGAAGGCTATAACGCGCGTAAACATTCATAATGCTTTTAACTACAAATATGCAACTCCTGACGTAACATTCCAGAGGGTAAATTAATCAATAAAATGACTAATTTGATGACTATGTTTTAGTCCCTGCCTTCATGAGTTAGTTTGGCCTTCGGCTAATTTACTAACATCGCTGTTAAGTGTTAACCCAAAAGATCGCAACTTACTCAGTGTATCATTATCATACAGTTATTGCATTGCAAACAGTCTACTACAGTCGCCTCGTAAACAGACCGTCTGCCAGTGGTGGATCCAGCAAAGTTGTTTTTTTTTTGGGGGGGGGCGCTAACCAGGGACGCCGGAACTGGGGGGACAGGGGGGCGGCTGCCCCCCTTGCCTTTTGCTAGGGGGGCAGGGGGGGCAGAAGTGCCCTTTTAGTTGTAAAATACTACGTGATAAATCACATTTCCAACGATGCTTTTTGTAGGAAAATCATGAGATTCAGGTAATTTATAGTTTATATTTATAAAAATTTTGGAAAGATTTTGGAGTTTCTGGAAAGATTTTGGAGTTTCTAGATTTTGACGTTTTGCTCTATAAAGGTGCCCTTGGTGTGCGTCCGCCTTCCTTTGCCTTATTATCGTTCCGGCGTCCCTGGCGCTAACCATGGCGAAACGAGCGCTGAAGGCGCGAAATTTCTATGGGGGTCCGGGAGCATACTCTCCCGGAAAAATTTTAAAATTTGGGTCTCTGAAATGGCATTTCCAGCATTCTGAGAAAGCATTCTGGAAAATTTTTAGATTCTCAAAACATTTCAAAATTCAAAATATTTAATATTGGCTATTCCACTATTGTCAACTAGTGATACTCAACTGAATTCCTTAAACATGAGTTGGTTAGAATTAGGATAAACGTCATTTTTGCAGCCCCCATGCACCCCTGTTGACCAGACTGCAATTCATGCTAGCAATTCATGCTGCAATTCACTGCCGTCTGCAATTCATGCTTGTCATAAAATAGAAAATGAGTTCCTTACCGTTGCAGACGGTGCCGTTTCCTGTAAATCCTGCTTTACAAGCACATGTATATGATCTCATGGTATTGGTGCAGATGGCTTGATAATGACAGTTAGCAGTTCCTAATGCACACTCATCCACTAAAACTATAGAAAAATTATGTTCAATCATTGTATGTCCATATGATCGTTTTAAAAAGTCAAACGTGTTGAAAAACAACGACAGCGACACCGACGACGACAGCGACAACGACAACAACACCGACACCGACAACAACACTGACAACATTTTGGGGAAGTTTGTATTGGTCGGGCAATTTCATCAACATGGGGCAAATATTTGTCACCCTCCTCCTATTTTTTCCTCCCGTACGTATACGCCTAACTTATACAGGTCTACACTAGCAGTATCAACATATTTCAATTGGTGAATGAATACCTGGTATTTCGCAGATAGATTGTCTTCGTTGATTGCATGGTGCATCGTTCCAATAACCATTGTGCCACATCTCAACACAATCCTCATTTCCACCAACATTATTTGGTTCCTTAGTGTTCCACTTATGAAACACTGAAGCTTTGCCGTCAGGATGACACCATTTGTCATTGCACTTTTTAAAGCCAATCCAAACGTTCGACGACCGTTGGCGTTGCTGTCTGTAGTTGTTGAAGAGAAAATTGTTGACAGGAAGTGCATCAATTGTAGCTAGCTGTCCACCCAAGAGTTTACATTTGTTATTTGCATCCAACCATGTCGTGGACCGGCGATTTAAGCTGTAACACATATTTCCAAAACGCTTCGCGTTTGCGGGACATACTAAAAGAAAAAATAATTATTACAATATTAGCCAATTAATATTGCCGGGGTACTAGCATCGGTGGAATTTTTACATGACTGTATCAGATTAAATAACAAGAGAGTGGAGTATAAGATCTTCAGTAAGCTGTCCGAATAATGAAACGTGAGCCAAATCAAACGCAAGAGAGATTCTATAACAAACATACTTGCAGGGAGGTGAGTCCAGGATTAGACGCACCAGAGGGTGGCGCTTTATATTACACTTTGAATATGGCAATATTTTTGTCAATTTTTAAATGCTTTTTTCCCGACCTTAAAACGTTCAATTTTCTTGAAACTTCGCATACAGATGTATTTTGCATGGGTTTAATTAAATAATCCCTGAGGTATGACATCTTAGTTTTATCTTAAACTTTCAAAAACTCAGAAAAAGCAGTCAAAACGCGCGGTTTTTCTGACTGTTCATGCTTATGGTCGTGTTTTTTCGGGGTTTTTGCTAATTAATTCGTGATTTGTTTGCTTTGCGAATATTAAATTCGTTTATCATACTACTAAATATAAATTAAATTCGGTGGTATAACTAATATTTTGGGGCAAGATTTTTCTGATCAACAAATGTGCATATTTTGAAAAACATTTTTAAAAAGGACTGGGTCTACCTACAAAAAAGCTTCAAGCACGGCTTCAACTTCCCTCCCCTGACTTAGCCATCCAGTTAAGCCTGGTTCACATATGCTTGGCATGCCTGCGACTGTATCATTATGCCTCTACTTGCCGCCGAAATACCGGCAAAGTTGAACTCAAGTCAGTGGCGTAACGTTATATCAGGGGGGCCCCCGGTTCAAAATTTTCGAAGGCCCCCCTAGTAGAAGTGCCAAAGGCACGAGTCGAGCGCCGTATATGCACGAATTTTCTAGGGGGTCCAGGGCATGCTCATCCGAAAAATTTTTGAATTTAGACTCTCTGAAATGCCATTTCCTGGACTTTGGGGAGAGATTTTACAGAATTCTGATGGTCATAAAACTACATTGTAACATATCAGAGGCCCTGACCAATGTTTTTGCTCTATTGCCTAAGCCTGGGGGCCCCCATTTAGGTTGGGGCCCCCGGGTTCTCACGGTCTGAGCCCATAGTAGTTACGCCACTGACTCAAGTCAACTTTCCCGGCCTATCGCCGATGTAACTGTGGCACTGGAGGCAATCGGCGAACAAATGTTCACTTAATTTACGTTTTAAGCTACCACCGGCATCGTCGCCGCCCGGTACGTCGCAGGCACGTCGCAGGCATATATGTGAACCAGGCTTTATTTATAGTTCAATGGTTGAACCTGCCCGTGCCGAACAAATTTCGCCGGCCATCTTTCCTCTCTTCCACTTTGAATACAGAATATTCCATTTTCATCAAAAAAATAATAAAAAATTTATAAAACAATTAAAAACAATTAATTTATTTTTTATTTAAATCTTCGTCTGAAATTTGTTCAAATCGCTTCATAATGGCGGCCGTCGCTCAAAACACCGATCTCGATAGGAGATCCGCTAATACGCTAGATATGAGATAAATCTAGTAACAGTATCCGCTATTTATCTGGCTTCATTTCAGTGCTAAAGTTATTAACTTATTATTCGAGTAACAGATTACACCTCGAATTACAGGATTACACAGGCATTTTATGTCAAAGTTGCATTAAAGGTGCGCTGGAGTGCAAGACCTGCAGAAGTAAACTTTTATTTTCTAGTTTTTGTGTGGACGAATATCGCCTTTATACAATTAAGCTTTAGGATCTAGATTCTGATATTTCCTTAATGTAAGATGTGTAGTACCTTTCATCGATCCATCACGCAATTTCATCGTAATGTCTAGTAACAGTACTAGTAGCATCCGCTATTTATTTGGCTTCATTTCAGTGCTAAAGTTTATTATTCCAGTAACGGCCGTATATTTAGCCGTATATTTTTTGTCAATGTACGCTAAACCATACTGTAGTTCTACAATATCAAGATAAATATAGCTCGATCAATAGCAGTACAGAATTAGCGAAACTAGCGCATTGTCACGTCATTTCTGTGAATGTTGTGCGCATTCAGACGTTGACATTTCAGAACTCAACTAACCTGAGAGGCTCTGAACAAACGTATTAACTTCCAACAAAGCAAGAACAACCGCAATCACTGCATAGGATTTCATATTCACTTCAATATCGGCGAGAGCTGTATTTCCAACACAGTCGAAGCTATTTGCAACCGAAGCAAGTTTTGCCGTTATTTATAAAGCAGTAACATCTTGATTCTATTTGCTCCTAGGTGATAAAATGTCCCTGTTGACGCCAACCAATCATCAACGCAAGCTTATGTTACATAGCATGCGTGGGACCGTGGGTTAGACACGCAAGCAGCGAAAAATTATAGAGAACTAATGTTACTACAGTAAATAACAGTCAGTGACTAGTGTACCAATTGTTCCTGCTGGAAAACACTAAAGAATGCACGCATTTTAAGTTTTTTTCAAAATTTTAAAAAATGTTCAATTGGACTTGATTCGAAATGGGAAGAATTTTTCGAAACATCTTCCTGCCTGCGGGAGGTACGTCTATACATAATATATAATATATACAGTACAGGAAGTTGAAAGGTACTTGTAAATGGGAAGAAATATATCTGTATCCTTGAAATGAAATATTGAAATAAATGATAAATCGAAATGATTTACTACAGTAGCTACATTTATCTCACAAGTAATAGAAGATTTGCACAGCCCACATGTACAGGTCAGTTTTGAGATGGGTCAAAATGTTCAAATTGGCGTCTGAATTTAAAAATCAATATGAAGACATAAATTGAAATTTTCTGTATTGACTATAGACCTCGACCTTGATAGCCGTATCCATATAAACTCCCATTTAGCCGAAAAGAAAATGACCAAACTTAACTCTTTCATGCCTAAATTAAAATTGTACATGCATGAGTTCTACATTGCACAAACCTACCCAACCAAACTTAAAAAGAAAACTTTCACTATATTTGCTTTCAAAATCCCCAATCAGTACCTGTCCAAAAATATATGCTATATCCGTAAGACTATGATTTATCAGTTAATATAGAAATTTTCGCGATCGATCGTGCAGTAGATGGGTGAAATAAAACCGATAAAAGTCGAATCCTTACACCGGATGACATGTTTCACATGTGAAACTGAAGAAATTTATCTCAGCTTTTTATTGATCCGACGTTTTTTCTCACATATAGTGGTGCATTATCGTCTCATCAACCCCTTATTAATTAGAACCGCCGGCTACACAGGCTATGTTTTGTATGAGGAAAAGCGATGCCCCGCGAAATTTCAATTTTAATCCTATTTCGATCTCTAAATCCCAGGGATGTTCTAAAATCCCAAAAATCCCCTTCCCCTCCGCAGGGTACTAAATACACCCGTCGTCTTTTCAATTATATATGTATACAATTAATCGTTGGAGCCGTTACATTATATAACTCCAACATATAACGTATTCAACATTGAATACAAGTCAGTTTGGTATATATATATATATATATATATATATATATATATATATATATATATATATATATATATATATATATATATATATATATATATATATATATATATATATAAAGCTAATATTATATGATGATCACATGTTATACAAATATATAAAACTAAGTCTGAATATATAAATGAAGTATATAGGCGCCTATTTCTCATATTTCAAACTTTGAAAAATAGTGTATAACTGAATATACTATACAGCATGCAGTAACTATAATTTCAATTCTTTCAATAATTTCAGTCACGAATTGACCTAGACAATACTCAATAGTCATCCATATTTAATTTGTCTTAGATAGCCGTCAGTACTCTCGTAATGAAGGCGTAATTAAGATTTAAACAAAATTGATATTAGGCCTACACTCGTTTAAATGAACAAAATGAACGATGTATTTCACTATTTTGTACAGATAATTTAGCTGTAAGTGAACTAAAATCTTCGATATATATATACTGTGAACAATACTCAATATATAGCTATATAGTAATTGTTTTGTTTGCTGATCAAACCAAATACTAAAAAAACCATCGAAGAGTTTTTTTCATTTCAAACTGAAATTTCATTCGAATAAAAATGCAATATGAAGCGCAGTCATTATGCCCATGGCTGCCGAGATCATGTATAGCCTACATGCATGCGGCAAGCGTGCTGATCACATACAGGAAATAAAAACGTACTGAAATATATAGGAAGAGAAAGCTTGACCTTGCCCTTGGAACTAAATCATGTCAAAAATAACTCTTCGTATAATTAAACTAATTATGCACCGGTGCCACCGATTATATCATAGTACCTGAACTCAACCCTTTTAAATTACCGCATATAGTTATACGTGCTGATGTGCCCATGCAACTAAATCGCATATTGAACGGACACTTTAAAGTTTCATTTTGATGCGAATAGCCTATGGCAATGCATGTAACATGCACTGATGCATGTAACATGCACTCGCAATTTGGTACATGCATGCAATATGCATTTATATAAACTATAGCCTATATTAAATATATAACTGAACGATGCCCAAAGACCTACTCCACTGTCTCTATACGAGCCATCAGTATCCAGTTGTTGGGCAAATTCCAACAGCAAATTGCATAGGCAAGGTCTATAATTATACTGAACGCCGAACGGTATATATAATTTGAGATTTTTATTTTCGGCGCTGTAAATATGTGCCCTGCATGGCTTGCAAATCAAAAGAAACATGTATACCAGTTGATTGGAAATTGCAAAATGTTTGCGACTTTTTTAAAATAAAACAGCATATATACATAAGAATCAGAATATCTCCAATCGAACCTTTTAATTAAGTTCACATTGATTTGATTTTTATATATGCTTCAATATAGTTTAAAAAAAGTGCTGCTTGAAAATTTGAAATAGCTATCGGTAAGAGTGTAGAAGAAGTCGGCTATTTTGCGACCTGTGAGTCGCTAGCCATGCTTTGAATGAGGCTTTGAAAGTATATTTTAATATGGACGACATGGCCGGAAGGCGAAGTCGATTTGAAGGGGCTTTTTATTTCATAAATATTAATGACCTTTGAAGTTAAGTTTCCTGTAATCGCGTAGCGTATTTTTTTCCTGACTTGTTTCTTTTTCTGTTTAATGACTTTGACACAAAAGAAAATGTTACAATACGTTAGACACGGTTGAAGTGAAAATTAATCGGCCTTTAAGCCTGGCGCACACGAGAGCTATCTGCTGCCGGCTGAGCGTCAGTGTGCGGTGGCGTTTTGAGCGATTTCAGCCACGCGTGCCATCGGCACTGAATATTCCACATGTTGAATAATTTCAGTCACGAATGAAAATTTTCTCCATGTGTGCGCGCTCGAAAAGCTGTCACCTTTCATTATAGATCGAATAGGCATGCGTAATAAAACATAAGACAAAAGGAAAATAATTAATGAGGAATATTCATATCTCGCTACTCAAGTATCTTTAATTTTTAATCTTTAAAATTCTTTAAGCACGGTAGCCATTCAGCATGCTACGCTGATTTTTAATGGACCGTGCACACCATACAACATATATTAACCTAATTGCTGCCGAAGGCAGCACACTATTCTTAACATGAAGTATCGCGTTCACTTGTGTCCAGTCTCTTTGCCCGAGCTATGTATTGTCGAGATATGTTATTTTCTGCGGTTCGCAGAATAGCAGAAAATTGATGTTTCCACGGTTCATCAAACACGTCACTGCCATGTTCATTGGCAGGGCGCCAAAGTGGTCACATGATTTGGGCAGCTCATTCTAGCCTGGCACTGCATCAACACACACAAAATTTTTTACAAACCGACTTTTAGTATTTTTACATTTATTATAAACCATCAACAAATCAAAACGGGCACAATGAACGAAGAATTGAGAACAGAACTCCAGAAATAACAGGAGTCTATGCTGGAAAAGCTGTCGGCCGTCATGGATATAGCCTGCATGGCAGGCGGTCTAAAATACCGCCTGCTGGGTTTGGCAGAGTAATTTGATAACCGCCCACTTTTTTGTCCGGATCCAATTAGCCAATCAGCAAACACTAAATATATTTATAATCAAACTGTCAAACTATGTTATTGTTTGGTCGCAAAATTTCAAATGTATAAAAATATGTCGAAAGAAACGCCATTGAAAGTTTCAATCAGAACTGAATAAGGCGAATAACGACTAGAGGTAGAAAAGCAAGCGCGGAAAATGTAAATGACTTGTCGTTTGTTTAAGTGTGCTTTGAAACTAAAACACGGGGCAATACGTCAATAGAGAAAATATCTTATATTCTTATATATCGTTGGAGAAATTATTTATTTAAGGCAAGCAAAAGAAACGTTACGGCAGTGGTAAAACCTTGGCCGAAATAAGCCGAATTGCCGGTTCAGTTCATTTAGGAATCGAAGTTAATTCTACCTCGGAACTATCCGACCAAGTTTGTAAACCGTGTGAGCGAAATATCCGAAATGCAAGCGAACTGGTTGCCATAATCAAACGAGACATAAACGCGTTGCTTGCGCATATTAAAAACCTTAGTTGCCACTATGAACTGTCTCGTCTCCCTAACGAAGCCGTGTGGTAACGAAAGCCTTAAAAAGTTCAGAAAGTGAAGCGGCTATTAATAGGCATAGGCCTAATAGTCCTGTTATAAAACCCGTTGCAAGAAAGACTGTACGGCCGTCTGTGTCTATTCTCGTTATATTTTCTCGCGCCAACAAGAACAATGTAAAAATCAAGCTTTTCCCATAGAATGATCAAAACATTCTTTCCAAGGAGTAAATCTTTAACTGCTATCTCTTGCTCGCGTTTGACAATCAGTTCGCGTTTCGACTTTCAAGAAGCTTTCAGTTTACAACACCTATTAATTAAAGCGAACGCATGCATCATTAAACTCGCAGCCAATCATCAATTCCCGTCCACTGGTGGACGGGGAATTCGATTACACTGCCAAACCCAGCAGGCGGTATTTCCCAGGCTTGCCCAATTTCAGGAACCGCCTGCCATGCAGGCTATCATGGACACGAAAGTGGGCTAGATGAAGCGTGAGCTGGAAGAAGTGGCCAACAAAGCACATATTCCTCGCAAATGACAGAACTCAAGCGAATGAAGTTCTCGGAGCCGCCATCTTTCAAGAAGAATGGCCATGAAGTGCAGTACAAACATAACGAGCGAGTAAAACTTTGTATCACCGAGGCAGAGGACGCAATCAAAGACAAGAAGCTAGACATGTGTCTCGAAAAGCTGAGTGAAGGTAAGGAGCAAATCGAGTCGAGACAAAAGCCAATTCTTCTTGCAGACAAATCCGAGTATGGGTGGAAAACCGTATCAGAATATCTCGATAACGAGCTTGCCGACGATGAGGAGGACGCCAAAAAAGATCAAGAAAGCCGAAAAAAGAGGCCCAAAAAAGCTTAACGAGACAAGAAACGCAAAGAGAACTCGCCCCAGCAGTCGCGGTGGATTTTCCTGGTCGCGACGAGGATCTTTCAATGGCGGACGAACCTGGGTTTCCCCGTATTTAGGGCCACATCAACAGCCAGCACCATCGACTTATCCCAACGACCATCTCTACAGTAGTACAGTTGGAAAGAAACCAGCAGGGGTCTGTTTCTCGTGTGGTAAAGCTGGCCATTGGAGCCGTGAATGTCCTCTAACCACCGGGTTGTCGACTGAAGTACAGCAGAGTGGAGGCGCCATACGAAAGTTAAGTGTAATTTCGTCAGATTATGAGGGGCTAGACGAAGATGTGGGTTCCTTTCCCAATGTGTTGGGCGAGGATAGTGAGTTTCCAAAAAGGCTCCTGTTACCAGTGAGGCCCTAGAGGAGTGTTGCATAAAGTCTCAGGGTTGTGACCATTGAACTATAAATTAATAAACTGGAAGGCTAACTGCTATGATGAAGGCCTATGATTTGATGAAGCCAAAATAGTTTTTCTGAGTTATGAGCAGAAATACTTGATCCCAAACGTTCGGGCTATATATCAAATTGAA